GGTCTCATGTCTCTACGACCTTCGCTTTTGGCGCAGTGAATCTTGCGCTTCAGCGCAATGCGCAAATTCCTGCAGGAACTTCCCGACATTGTAGAGACCTGAAACCTCGACTAAAGTTAACCATTTCCTACTGTTTATATTAGAGGAGCACACATTTAGAACTCCTTCCATACTCCTTCGTGACTAAATTGACGATTTAGATAATTTAACCTGTTAAAAATTGGTGAAAAATATAGGCGTGGCCCAAGTCAGTATTATATATGGAATATATGAAATTCTGTGCTCCAATATCCCTATATGAGGGTTACACATGCTCGTCGAGGAAACCCTGCCTCCTAATCTGTCAGGTAGACCCACCTGACAACCAAAACACTAGATCAACCAACATTTTTAACATTTTAACCCCAAAGTTCAGAATGACTGACTTTACTACCAGTGTAATGTGCTTGCGAGGAAAACTTAAACGTGCTCTATTAGCCAATCAGCATAACCACGCCCTGCTTGATTGGACCGTAAAAGATTTTGACTGCACAAATATTATTTTCCAAACATTATAACTGGCTGGTCACACACATCTCAATTAAATTCCCCTAGGCTACTGTTTTCCAAGTCTTGTCCTGTGAGTAAAGAATGTGTGAGAAAGTGTTAATAAAATAAATGTATATTTTTTTGAATTTTCTAAATCTAATCTGAGAATGAAGTATAAAGAAATTTTTAATTAGCACTGTATAGTTTAAGATATTTATAGCTTATTATAACCATTGATACAAAGGCCATAATCTTTCGCCAGCTCTTTAATATCCACCTTGAAGCTACATTTTATATCCTTGAACTACACAATATAAACTAAAGCATGTTTTAGTGTAGACTTTTTGTCACAACAAGGCTGCAACCTATAGTAACAACTATAAACAGAACCCCTAATGTCTACTAAAAAATGTCTTCTAGTCCTAATATGAGCCTTGTCTCTAAAAACCTAACTGAACTAGCCTTTCAGGCACGCGCATTCCTTGCCCCGTTAGTTACCTGTCCTTCCAAAACCAAACTAGCAGTCAAGGACAGAAAGTCATACACAAAATGAGCATTATATTTTATGAATTGTTTTACATCTTTTTATTCTGTAAAATGTGCTAAAATTAAATTTCTTGTTTCATTGGAAATTTCTTGTTTCATTGGATTATACGAAACCGTAGGCACAAAAAATTGTTTGGTTGTTCCTGATCCTATAGAGCAACTAATTAGAGGTGATATCTAATTATTTGAACGAGAAGTGGTTTTGTGAACCGCCCTTTATTCTACAGCGAATCATGAACATTGAACATGTACATAAGAACTTAGAATTGTATGAAGTATGAGTTTATATGAGTAAATTATTATGAAATGACCTTTCACTATTATATGCAATTTCGACTAAATTCATGTAGATATCCAATCCAGTTCCATGCACAACTGTTGTTTACATTTGGTCTAGTTAGACACAATTTGTTTCAGAGTGACTCGATAATCGCAATATCAAACTAAGATATTATTTAAATGGTCCATGTCATGCAATGCGGAAATATCCCCATAAATTGGCAACTGCCAAAGTGACACTAAAGTTATTGCTAATTCCTTTACAAAACTTAGCAAGTGCTATTAACAATTTCCTAATGGATCATGGAAATTGAAATGTTCAATTTTCTTTTCATAAATAATAATTATAATGCGAAGTTTTATTTACCCCAAGTTTGGAGAGTAAGTAGGTTAAACTGGGAATGCCCCTTCCCAGGGACCACATCACCCCTAATAAACCATTAAATATCATGGGCGACCATGCACAGCCTCGAAATATAGTATAATGACTTCGAATAAACCTTTTTTGTCTCTAAAAAAAGGCTTAGAAAACTAGATTTATTTACCTCATTTTACCTCATTTTACCTCATCCCAATTTTGCCTTTTTTGGCTGGCCTCATGAGGTAAAATGAGGTTGACCCCCCCCCAAACGGTTATCCATCTATGGAAAAGATTGCAATGGAGATTTGGATTGTTCAAACAACGACTACGATGAGTCAGGTCCTCAATGTGTGGCTGAACAAATTACTGTGGATCTACGGACTGGAGCGAAAGTTCCAATAAATCAGGTTTGCAATGATCTCTGTGAAATCTCTAGCTGTGAGGATGAGGCTGTATGTAATGGCTTTCTCTACGGAATGTACTGCAAACATAAGAGAAATAAAAAAGAGATTTACATTAGACCTGGTTGGATCTGTGATGACTGGCCTGACTGTTTGGATGGTGTTGATGAAGAAGGGTGCAATGTGCCTGCTGTCGAAGGAACAACTTGCAAAAGAGATATTCTGAGGGCAAAAGGGAGGCTGGAAGATCCTATCTTCAACACAACACGATGTGGAGCTGATGCTAGAGACCGTCCCTACTGCAAGGACTACAGTGATCAGACAAACTGTACCGACCCTGGTAAGGTTGAACTGAGGTGCTTTATCAAGGGTCACATGACAACTCTGTCAAGGTTAGTGGTATGTAGTGACAAAGAGGGTTTCTGTGATGATGACCTTCACAACAACTGCTATTCTACTTCTCAAACATGCTCAGTTCACAAGCACAAACTTTGTGATGAGGTCAAGGACTGTGCGGATGGAAGTGACGAGAATAACTTTATTTGCTCGATGAAGACCAAAGAAAGATGTGTTCGCAGGGGTGGGATGGAAGGAGAACTTCACATACCTCTGTCTTGGCTGAAAGATGGTATTGATGATTGTTTGGATGGGAGTGATGAGGTAGATGGGTGGCCAACATGTGGGCTTGGTCCAACAGAAAGATTTGTTGAAAGTAAGAAAGACTCCCGTGAATGTGAAAATGTGTTTCTCTGCCGTGATGGTGAGTCAGGGATTATAGAGTATGACAAGCTATGTGATGGAGTTAATACTTGTGGAAGGGAAAACGATATTTGCGAGAGATCAAGGGGCTTTGCTCTTCAAATGAACACAAAACTTTCAACATATCAAGATGGAATAACAAAGTATTTCTCATTTTGTATGAAAGGCTTAGAATCTGTCAACTCTCTCGGAAACAACAACTGTATCTTAAGCCGATACATATTTCCGGATCACAACTTTTTCGGGGTTACGACGAAGACATCACTGGCACTGCCTTATCAAATGACAAATTGTGACCATATGTTCGGCGAAATATATCTCTACCACAGTTGTACAGGTAGGTGTCTGAATTCTAAATGTCCATTAACAACCCCTCCTACTTACGAGTCATGTCCAGGACAGCATAAAAGTAGGGTCGGAACTCTAACAAACAATAAATATCTATCATTTTTTACAAAAACTCGCCAAGGAATTTACGTGAATGATCATTTTGTCTGCAGTAACAAGAAAAAGTGTATTTCTTACAGCCAAGTTTGCGACTTAGTTGATGATTGTGGTGATGGCTCAGATGAGGATCTTTGTACTAACCACTTCAGATGCAAAGACAGTAATTTAGATTATAGCAAAATCAATCGTCATTATATCCCAAAATCAAAGAAGTGTGATGGTAAAATAGACTGTCTGGACATTTCTGATGAGTGCAACGATGAATGCTCTGTCCAGATATTAGATGATAACTTTCTAAAGATTTTCTCATGGACAAGTGGCATGCTAGCAGTCATTGCAAATCTCATTATCATCATACGAAGTCTATGGATATCAAGAGAGTCTAAAGTCCTTGTTGCTCTTATCAATCGATCTTTGATACTTTTGGTAAGTTTTGGTGATCTATTAATCGGAGTGTACCTTTTGTTTGTTTCCATCGCAGATACGATTCACAGCAAGTCGTATTGCAAATCTCAAACAGAATGGCTTACCAGTTTGGAATGCTCAGTGCTTGGAATTATAAGCACGGCAGGGTCTCAGCTGTCACTCTTCGCCATGACCGGATTAAGCATTTTTCGGCTGGTAGGCATCATGTTTCCAATGATCGGTTCAAGACCTCTCAATACCAAGCTATGCATCAAGGTATTGGTTGCCGAATTCTTTATCATAGTTGCAGCAATAACCATCTCAACCGTCCCGCTTATTCCAAAATTGGAGAACTTCTTTGTCAACGGAATACGGTACGATCCTGAACTGAAACTTTTTGGTGGACTTCCAGACAAACAGATACTTGTTGAAATGCTTGAAGCATACTACGGTAGAATGAAAAAGTATACATTAAGCTGGAAAAGAATCAAAATAATGACAAATGATATGTTTTCTCACGATCTGAAATACAAAGATTTCACAAAACAAAGTAGGCAAGTTGAGTTCTATGGAAACGATGGTGTGTGTCTTTTCAAGTACTTTGTTGATCCTGATGATCCTCAAAGGATCTTCTCTTGGAGTATAATCACAATCAACTTTGTCTGCTTTGTCTTTATCTCAGTCTCATATCTTTTTATCGGAGCAATCTCAAAGAAATCCTCCTCAAGTGTTGTGCAGCGTAAAGACAAACAGGTCCAGAAAAGAAACCAAAGGATGAACACCAAAATTTCAGTTATCATTGCAACTGATTTTATATGCTGGGTTCCCTTCATTGTTATCTGCATTTTACACTCAGCTGGAGTCCTTAATTCAACAAAGTGGTATGCAGTGTTTTCTGTCATCATCTTGCCCATTAATTCGGTCATCAATCCCATGCTGTATGATGATTATATAGGGACGATTTTGAGCAAAGTTTCAAGTTCAATCATCAGGACTTCATCCATGTTAACAAACATTCGATCTTTCAAAAGAGATTCTCGAAATCAATTTCAGCTATCCACAACAAATGCTGGTGCAGGCAGTCAAGGTATTAATAACGATTTGGACAGCAAACCAAGCACTAGCAAGCAAGCTGAATCGACTCTGTAATTATACATATTTCTAACATTATTCGGATAAATGTTATAATTTCAAGTTACTTATATTGTGTTATAACAGTTCAATCTATTATGTGATTGAATAACTCAATTATTATGTTCCATGACAAGTTATACCTGAGAGTAAGTTTAGGTCCTGCGCAAGAGCACTCCTGTTTTCAAACTTAGTCAATATTTCCTCCCCGACTGGTGGTTCTGTCTTGTAGGTCTGGTAACTGTACGCTGTGGATTTTACAAGTATCAGCAATACCCATAGTACCGTGCCCCACAGGGTAGACAGAATGGTTTTTAATTATTTTAATATTTTATTTTATGTAAGTCGATTCGAAAAAAACATAAACCGGTAGACTAAAAGCCGGCCATCAATCAAAAAAAGTTCGGCTATTGAGCAGAAAAATGTATTCGATGATATTTAATAATTCTGTTCTTTTATTAGTTAGTTTTGGTAATGTCGAAATAACCGTTGCTGTATTTTACATCTGTTAAAGAAAAACATTGCACCAAACTTACTTGACTCTTCATTGTCCACGTCACAACTTGGATAAGATTCTGTTATCTCAGACATAGTGCAGTCTTACTAATAACGGAAATACATTAATATTAAGAGTCGAAGTTGTTACTTTGACCATATGGTTAATATTAAACAATGAATGGAACAGCAGGTGAACCGTCTCTCTGGGTTATATTATGTAATAATCGAATTAGTAGCCATATCAAAAGAAGGTGTTTCCTCACTTTCCTTTCAGAGCTGTTATTACTGTCTAATGTTTATGAAACAAAACAATAAGAAGTTCGCAAACTTTAATGATCTTGTTAACACCTGCTGCCCTTTATAAGCGGTACAGATCCCTACAGAAAACATCACTTACAATATTTTTAAATTTTATCATTTAACTCTTGGGCCTTAGCAATAACATGAATTTGTTTCGTCTGTTCTATATCCTTCTGCTGTTGGATCTTTCCTTCCAGAGTGGCTTGAAGATTATAAAGTCAAATGGACAACTAGGACCAGAACCTTGCGCATTCACTTGCGTCGGAACAACTGGAAGGGATACAACAAAATGGAATGACGATAGAGCGGGCAAAGTCTGGATAGACGTGGACATGTCAGCCTGCAACTTTGTTGATGTTCCAGTCATAACAACTACTGTGGAAGGGGCAGCTCACCACGATTATTTGGTTGGGACTTCTTCAGTTTTCTTCACAAACAAGAAGGGATTCAGGATCCACCTCATGGGCCAAGTACCTACTGCTTATCTGCCTAATGTCACTTGGAAGCCAGTTGCAGAAGATGCAGTAAAATATCATTGGAATGTGAATTGGAGTGCGTTTGGATATGAGTGTTAGATATTAACATTTAATTGATTAAGAAGTTAAATTATATTTTTAAATTAAACAATAGTTTTATTCACTAATTTAATAGAATATTGAATAACAATTTTAGTATGATTTGAAATAATCTCTATTCTCGGAAATGCAGTCGGAAAAAGTCCCAAGCGGATTTATAAGTGGCAACAAACGTTATTGTTGAAAAATAGCAAAAAAACTAATTTTTTTTGGAGACCCTCAATCAGTATAATCAGCATATTATGTGATATGGAATCACACTGGTCCAGGCAAACAGTCTTTTAAAGTGCCGATTAAGCCATTGACGGCTCTTCCTTGGAATATTGCTTGGCTCTTAATCCAACTTCAAAAATGAGAATAACATAAAAAATCACCAAAACACAACGTTAAGAAATATTACACTTTTTTAGTATTATATGTTCTACTCCTGGGAGGTGGTTTAATTAATCGTAAGCTGTTAATTAATAATTAATATGGTTTACAGTACATTCCAGCGCATTCTAAACTTTCAGAACTTTGCTCCATAGCTGTACGTGAAACCTTTGTTAGTTTCACTAATTACAAACAAATTCCTTTTAATACACACCGTAAACCCTCCGAAATTTGATATCAAACTTTAAGATAAAAATGATCATGCCAGGTAATTTGATTATTTATTTAGCTTTAAATCATGTTCGCAAATCTGAAGGGAATCTTGTTTCAGGCTTCAGCCAAGATCGTCTTTCTTTAATTTACACTGTTTTGTATACCAACAAGTTGCTTGTCAAAACCATAGTTAAAGCGAACGTATCTTATTTAGAGGATAAAATTTCTCTAAACATGGCCACGTACACGTATGTCATTTTGGGTGACATGGACCATGTTACTATTTATAAAGCCAGACGATGAGATGATATATATGTTACCATTTTACTGACACCACGACATCAACTTTAACAGAACTTTTCGCGAAGACCGTGAGAGATATACCATCGAACATTTTTCGGCTGAGTTGAATATTTTTATTGCCTTTTGACTAGTATGAAGAAATACAAAATTGGCCAAGGAATAAGAAATTTGGCCCCCTAAGTGGTGTCAAAATCGCGACAATTATTGTAGTCTCTTGATACCACTTTAGGGTTAGACGGGTTCCTGCTCGTAATCGTTAATTTATCAGATACACTTAGGTGCCTGGTGCACTTATACTGAGAGGCTGCCTTGCGAAATTAAAAGTGGGCTATTTAAACGAGGCAGATTCTTTGTTCAGAAGCTTTCAAATAACATTTATTTAAATTTACTACACCAAAGCAGTGTACTCAACGTTAAACATTGTGTTATTGTATTTTGTATTCGAAATTTGTAGCCCTATTTATTCGTACCTTTCAAGTATCATTTAAACGTACGTTAACGTTTGAATAAAGTTGCCATTATATGCTCAAAATGAGACCGAAACTCAATAGATTGAATTACCGGGATTCTATAATTTATTTTCACTATTGGTTATAAAATTAGTAGAATAATAATTTATTTTTAATTGTAGTTGACGAAATGAGAGTCTCCACTCAGTGTGTTAAAACATAATTCTTTGTCGACGTTTCGGCTACATGCCTTTGTCATAAACAGGACGTACTGAAAATTTATTTATTTCTGGGTTTTCAATTATTTAAATACTCAATTGTCTGAGTCCGTAAATGAAGGTGATTGGATAAAATATACTTGGAAGTTAATGTAATATTGAACTTATTAACCTAGATAATTTTTGATTACTCAGTTTTATGAAGGAGCTATCTTGGTAAAATGTTTGTAGTACTATGAGGAATTGTTCACGACTTGTTGCGGTGTGGATTCTTTTAGCCGTTATATTTTATGTTTCTTTTGGAAAAAATTTGTGATCGTTGTTGAATGTTGGGTTTCGAGATGTTATTTGTTGTTGTTATATTTCGTAATATTAATAGATTATTTTAAAATTGTATCTTTGCAGCTATGTAAGTTTTCAGTACGTCCTGTTTATGACAAAGGCATGTAGCCGAAACGTCGACAAAGAATTATGTTTTAACACACTGAGTGGAGACTCTCATTTCGTCAACTACAATTAAAAATAAATGATTGACCCACTCATAAGAGCAAAACAAGATTACCAGAATAATAATTTAATATTAATGCAATTTGGTACTCACTCAGTGTGAAATTCGTAGAATATGCTTATAGAGTAATGTTTCTAAGATGATTTTAATGCCAACCACTATTCGGTCAATCAGGCAAACCTTTCCAAATGACATTAGTATTTTGTATACAAGGAAATTTACCATCATACGTAAAATACAAATACAGTACATTTACGGACAAAGACACATTGTACCTAATTGTACACTACAATCAGCCGTTAGTTTCAGTTGATGACGATGTTATTTGAAAGTTTTTAAATCTAATGCCAATTTTCATGTTGCTTTAGCTTTTTATCTCTTAGTATTAACATTCGGCATCCAAGCATTAATTGATTTCTCCTCATTCCATTTGCCACTCTTCCTCCTGCAACTTCCCATAGATTTCCCCGGATCCAGCCTTTCTTAATAAAAATATTTGTATCAATTAAATAAGTTCAGAATTCTCTGCTAGTCTTAGTTTTTTAGCTTGTCCTATTCTTTATCATTATTATGTGATACCAAACAACGTGGTAAGGTAATTTGAAAACCTACAATATCAGAAATCCTCCAGATCTCAAAACCACATGATTTTCCTCCTATTCCTTCATATCTTCCACCATGTGAACGCTCAGGAGGATTTAGCTAGATTCGTCTTAGCATTAAGAAATGAATTCTCAGACACGTGTCCCCCTGTAAATAATATTACGGATAAACGAGCTTGCTGGCTGAGAATCTCTCAGCTTACATTCCCAGGTGAATTACACAGGTCTCAGCTTACTTTACCTCTTAATAACCTTGTTAGAGTTTGAGAAATTGGTTGGTTTCCCTGATGTAGATCAAGTGATCTTTTTTGAATAGTTTTATTGATGTTGCGGTTCCCCACGATAATAAGATTATTTTGTAAACTGATGGAAAATCTCGCAATGGTTTTAAAACTGTCAGCTTAACTTAATATCAATCTGGTAGCCATTTTGTTATTCTAAATAATATTATGCTCTGAACACGTAATCCTCACAGCTTAACGTGAAGGCCAAATTACTGCATGAATTTGCTTAATTGATAAACCAACTTCCCAGGAACACACAACAGTGCAGCTAGAGATGATCTGAAACTGAGTTTCTTGAACATGCCTGTACCAGACTGTAGACATCAGAACCAGAAACTTACCATTACTCAGCAGCTGGAACTGGGAGTCAGATCCCTGGACATTGATGTGGCGTATAGACAGGCTGCTGGGTCAAGGTTAATTTAACTGATCATATTTGGTCTTTTTGTAAATATAAGTTGTTTAATTACTTATACGATCAGTCAGACAACCATGGAACAACAAAATTTATTATACTGAATCTTCTGCACTGGTGTGGGTAACCGAACCGCAGGAGAAATATTATTTGATCAATGGCAATATGTCATTACTACTTGACCGAAATCCATTTTACAGCCAAACCCTAACTTTCTGTGAAAATCAATTAACAATACACAACTTTGATAAAATCATCATCCTTTTCACTCAACAGAGTGAAGGATAATGCAGTTGTAACACACTGTGCAGGTTTGTGCGCTTATGGAGTGAAACTAGAGTCTGTCCTTACAGAAATAGCACAGTAAGTACTATGAAGTCGTATTGAATAGTTTATAGTAAGAAACATATTTTTTTAGTGACACTGACAGATGTGCTGATTTATTTTTACTGAATTTTTAAATATATTATAGTAGTTGTTATATAACATACATCCATTTTTTATTCCCAGATTTTTGGATAAGAACCAGCATGAAATTCTGATGATACGGATAGTAGACTTCAGTGTTGACAGTGAGGCACATAGAATGTTACTAACTCAGGCAATAGTGGAGCTGGTCAGAGATACTATTGGCATCAGGTTGGGAGATAAACTATGATTAATTGAGGAACAAAATTTTAATTCAAGTGTCAAATTAAAATGGGAATTTAAAGAGAATTTCTTGACATATTTACATAAGTATATATAATGAGATGAATTACATATCAGGAGACTAAACTATCACACCGATCCTCTGGTGTTATCTGCTTTGGTCATGAAACGAAATGTTTTCTTCTACATTAACACAGATCTCTGGTTTCACATCAAGAGAATCAAATACACATTACGGTTTGTGGTCTTGTATTAGAGGATATACTCCTTTAACAGGACATTTTTATACTTGAATCCTGAACTCCAGAGACTGGAAAAGATTAACTTAAGATTCAGATCCATAAATATTATAGTACCAACACTAACAGCAGCCAGTAACTTCAAAATAACTTATCAAAAATCTCAGAGAGATGAGAAAGTTCATCCGGCCACACAAACATCTGGCAACTTGGTGGCAGCTACATCATCACATTTACTATACATGTGACCTGAAAACGGGTTCAATAAATTACTTCAATAATTCCAAGAACCAGGAGCTCATGCAAAGCTTCCCTTGGTTACCCATCATTTCAGGTTTTAACGGACCCTTGACTAAAAGTATTTTCATATTTGATATCAATGCCAAGTGTACAAGATGTTTGTTGATGCTATAGTGCGTTCAGGAATTTTTTGTACAATCCTAACATCACATTTCTGTTTCAGATTGGTATGATCCAGGCACAGAGATGGGAATCTGTTTGACAGACTCAGCTGAGGAGTGTAGAGAAACTGTTGGGGTCAACATTCAGTTAACTCATTACTTACAGCACAACTTGTATGTAGTTATAGGACATTTTTTGCTGGATATAACTTTGTTTGTAATGAGTAGTATTAAAATAAGTAAATAACTTTTGTGAACGTAATGAAATTAAAGACATAGCAAAGTGAGAAAATGTTTATCGATTAAGATTACCGCATTAAGGACAATACCTGACATTGCAGAGTACTTTGCCCCACTGGAGAGTAAGATCATGCATGTGCTCATTCCAGCCCTCCTCGGTCGTCCAGTCAACCAGCACGAGAGAGATATCCTCGAACTTCCTGTTCGATGTGGCGGGCTAGGCATCATCAATCCTGTCAGAATAACATCCCGTGAATATGCTTACTCAGTAGCGGTAACTAAAGACCACGTGAGTCTGATCAACCAACAAGACCCGGATATCACCAAGCTGGACATGGGCAAGATAAAAGAAAAGAAAGAAGAACTGAGGAAACAGAATGAGGAGTTTCTCTCCCAAAGGTTCAAGGTGCTCCACAAAGAATCAGATTATCAACTAAAGAACCACTTAGACCAAGCAAGAGAGAAGGGAGCCTCAACATGGCTTTCGACACTACCACTGAAAGACCTCAACTATGTTCTGAACAGGCAGGAGTTCCAAGACAGCATACGCTTAAGGTATGGTTGGAAGATCCAAGGAGTGCCCTCTAAATGTGCTTGTGGAAATGTTAACAGTATCTACCACGCCCTTGACTGTAAAATAGGCGGATACGTTAGCATGCGCCACAACGCTATTAGAGATACTGCTGCTTTCTTCCTCTGAGAAGCAAAGTGTAAAGACGTAAGGATAGAACCAGCACTCCTGACAGTCCAACCAAGCTCCTTCTCAAGAAAGACCGACACTCAGGATGAAGCCCGTCTTGATGTTGCAGCTGTCGGATTGTATGCACCCTTTGAAAGAACATTCTTTGACATTAGGGTCACACATCCTAACTGTGACACAAACACATTTAAGACGCTAGATAAGATCTATAAAGATCACGAGAAAGAAAAGAAAGATTTGTATGAAGAGAGAGTACTTGTATGAAGAGAGAGTACGTAATTTGTTTACAATTATCAAAATTTGTTGAGCCCAGCAGCTTACTTCCTTTCCTCTCTTCCCCCGTCGTCTGGAGCGTGTGATTTTTGTTGATATCCGAGCTCTTATTTTTATCTTTTGGTTAACTTTCTGTGATTGTACTCGGTATTTTCGTCCCGGCCGAGTGGGACGATGCTTGCTCGCCAGTTAAGCTATACTGTAGATGACACTAATTTCTACAAACCACAAAATATGAAATATAAAATGTGTCCAGTATGGCGCAAATGCATAATTTGATAATTTCTCGACGCTGTCGTCGGGGTGAGAGTTATCTGAACCAACTGCATACCCCTACGACTGCGTCACCACTGGTGAGCAGGCATTTGTTTGTTGTTTAGTTGTGTTGAAAGGGAACATTACTTGATTAATTCATCCATTCGGATTTTAATAACGATGAGCTATGATATACCGTTCATCTTAGACTATTGGATCAATCTTATTATATGATTAGATTTTATAAACGAACTTGGCACACAAAAGATTATAATGCGGAGGTTGGCTGGCTCTTCTATAATAAATACGACACTTCAATTTACAGAATGCTTGCTAGAGATAAGACAAAATATTATCAGACTATACATGCAGCATGAGTAACTGGTGGATAAGCCTTCGGTAAAAACGGATCCGGAAAAGTCAATGCGGCACTCGGGTCCTTGGTATTGTCGTTGGTATATTGTCCATTATCTACGTTCTGCTTTCGTAGTTTAAACAATAGTGAGTTCTAATTATACAGCTTTAAACCGATTAAGTATGAATGAATGAAATACCTGACAATCCGCACTCTTATAATCCAAAAGCATGAGTAACTCGTAGTGATGTATGATTTCTAGAAACTTTAAATTAATTTTGGCGCTCACAGGTCCTCGTGAATATGTGATCGCCGCATAAGGTTCTGTAAATGCGCAGGGCACCTTCAAGCTTAAATTATTCACCTTACTGAGGCAGTCAACCAACGCGCGGCTTTATTTTCATGATATGATATGTTTTGATTGTTATTAATAAATACCAAAATTTAAATTTGTTTTCAAAAAAAACTTCAGTCAGAGAAAGGATCCTTTGTCCCTCTAGTCTTCACAACCTCTGGAGGTATGGGACCGCTATGCACTGTATTTGTAGATCGTGTCTCTGAGATGATAGCTGACCACAAAAAAGAAGCCAAGAGCCAAGTCAAAAATCATATCAGAACACGATTCAGATTTGATCTGTTAAGAAGTACACTCATTGCACTAAGAGGAATCAGAGGAAGATCAACGGCCCAGCATCTTGAACTGCATGACATCTTCTTCAACCTCATCCCCCAGAAGATGAGCTTTGAAGTCTCCTAGATTTGTTTATGTAAATTTTGATATTTTACTGTACTATTTTATGTTGTATATAATTTTACGGACGAAATGATCCCAGGGGGGACTCCCAACCCACCGCTTCGGCGGGTAGTTGACACACCGTTCACAAGCAAGAAATAAAACAAAAGTTTAATAAAACAAAAGTTAAATTTATTACCAATTATTCAATCAATACATATCATAAATTCTAATATTGGAAACACAATGCAGAATGGATGTCTTAAACTATAATTTTGTTGTCACTAATAATCTATTTACTTTCAAAGTTGAAATTTAGTTAAGTATGAAATGCCACCACATCATAGTTAGGGTAAAATATAATTCTTAAAAATTTTAAAATTGAGAAGATTGCTCTATGACTTAAAATTTAAAATTTAGCAAAGAGCCACTTTGGTATACTTGCTGTGAGGTGTCTCAGCTACATGGGTTGGGGGTCCCCCCTTTTTTTATTATTTTTTTTTAAAGGTATTAATTTATTAATCGATTTTGTGTACGATCCTGTTTAATAATAAGTTATGCAATAACATTTTATCCACATCTCAGTACCAAGGACTATTGTTTCAGTAACAGAACGATAAACCTACTGATGACCGACTTTACAGGAGTGGATACCATTGAGACTGCTCGTCAGATGAATCTTCTTAACATTGAAGTTTTCATTGAAAACAAACAGGTTCAATTTGGAAGTCAATCTAGCTGAATGCTTTTGTTTGTTAAACTCCAAACTTTTATATTAAATAGTTATAATTTTAATTGACGATGTCAATTCATCTCAGCTCGGCGCGGCACAGTAGCGCATCTCGCCGATCTAGAGAGGCGCTGTGAGAAGCATTATTGAGTGCGCGGCGCGGCACAGTAACGCATCGCGCTACAATTATAATTTAACTTTCAGCTATGCACCTCATGAAATAAAGTACTATATTCCTATATTTTTTTTAATGCAAATAATTTTTTTGCAAATAATTCAATATTGATATTGTAAAGTTAAAATTATTTCAGGGGTATCTCAGTTTCGATGTAGCACACTCACACCATATGACAAAGTACCCTTTCGGAGAGTCAGAGAAGTAACATAGCATAGTAAAAGAAAGATTACTGCAAAAAAAGTTCATTGAAAAGATACATATTGATTCGGTTAAAAACCGGAAAGTTAAATCAAAAAATTAAAAACTGAATTTATGTGCAATGATCAGCACAACTGAACTATACGATTCGATATAATATTATCAATGTAAAATTTAATATGATGAAACATAAACAAAAATTTGAGAATTATCCATTATCGTTTTTAGCAGGATTTTCTATTCGATGTCCAAACTATTTTTATATACACGTAAAGCATACATAACAGTGGTTAAATGATTTTATATTTATATTCATAATCTTGTAAAGATCCATTATCAGCAGCAAAAAACTATAGTTTTCTTTGAAGATTTAGAATCTACCAAGATATTTTACGAGTATCACCTGTTTTCACATAGCCATGTGTATACGCGTACTGCGTGACGCGCTTGTTTCACAACGCGCGCTACTGCAAGCGAGAGGGCTTTAGTTAGAGCAATCACTTGTAGCGCGATGCGTTACTGTGCCGCGCCGCGCACTTAATAAGGCTTCTCACGGCTAGATCGGCAAGATGCACTACTGTGCCGAGCTGCCATGAATTGACATCGTCAATTAAAGCAATCACCTGTTAAAAGTTTTATTAGCCAAGTTTTATTAGCCTTCGGCGGCGCGCGCTTCGCGCGCGAAAAGTGGCATGCAACGCATGTCAAGGTGCACGTTAAAATTAAATTTACTCGGATTTTCAAAATTTGTGTATCATTCATGACCTTTAAATTTAAAGCTTTACTAATTTATTGCAAAATAATCTTTTCATACAATTAAAATTCACATAGCCATAGCACATGAGTTTTCGAGTACTGTGTGACGCGCATGTTTCATAAGCCACAAGCGCGTGCTATAACTGCAAGTGCGGGGGCTCTAATTAGAGCAACAATAAAATATTTTCACCCTTATTGATCATTTTTAGAAACATTTATTGACAACTGTTACATTAAAAAATAAAAAAGATTTTCCTAAAAGGGCCCCAGATTTGGTTTATCCAGAGCCGCGCCTTTGCGCTTGCAGTAGCGCGCCCACAGTGGCGCGAAAGCCTCTGATAATTTAAATGTGTAAAACTTGGAAGACTTCGCCGCTTTGACGCGCCGCGCGAACTAGCATTCCTGCTTCGCATAGCAACGATCTCGACGGATTGACATCGTCGATCAAAACCAATTCAAATAAAATTAGGCGTTCAGTATGTTAAAAGAATACAATATAGGTGTTTTAATATTGAATGGGCGTGGTCTAAAGTATTCGAATTTTCAAATTTTGACGACGGAATCCTCGAACCAGTAAGTACAGTATGCCATCTACAAAGCAACAGCCCTCAAATTTAAAACACGGCGGAGCTATTAAGGCCAACGTATGCCCACTGACTTTTGGCCCACCCTGTATAGAAATTAGAAATTAGAAATTAGAAATTAGAAATTAGAAATTAGAAATTAGAAATTAGAAATTAGAAATTAGAAATTAGAAATTAGAAAGATCATTACAAAATTACATGTGTCAGATCCCAATCAGTTAAATAAAAGTTATTCAACCGAACAATAAAAAGAACATAATATCTTAAATAAATAATTAAAAGGTTTAAAAGTTTGCACGAAATAAGGATACTAAGTCATAGCTTACTTTTAGGAAATCTTTCACGAAATAGATTATAAACAAAATTTCTGGTCTCCAAAATGTAATCCTCATGAAATAATTTACTGAATTGACTATTTGTGAGTATGTTGTGAAGGTCTGTGCTGTTTCTTTGTCTGATCTCCTTGTAGACAGGACATTCTTTAAGCAAATGGACTTCGTCTTCTTTAATGATGTCACTAAACGGGAGCTCATTCAGGAGGTCTATGTATATATTTTATATATAATAACAACAAATTACTTTTTTGTAAATAATTTACTTGGGTAATAATGGTTAATAAATTTATTCAAATCAAGAAATTAGACTATAATTCGGCGTATTCACCATTTGTCGACTGGGCGGTGCTCAGTCTGTCATTCCGCCGAAGCTTTATGAACATAATAGCCTGGAGTTAAATGATGATATAATATCATGGATCTTATAAAGGCATCCTTCAGTTAAATACAAATTTGAAGGGAAAATTTATATTTATTTTATGAATTATATTTGAGTGTACTGACAAATCTGTTGAATTATGAATTGTGGATTGTGAAAAAGGAGATAAACACCAGCAGGCCATCCCAACGCTGGGAATGACCTACCCCTGTGCTGTATCTTGTTGTACCACCAAGTGTGAGAAGCCCTATAGTCTTCCTAATTATTTAAATACGTTGTATGGGATATAGCATTGCTATTTGAGGTAGAAAGCTTTTAAGTTTACTTTTTGTTTAATGTTAGCGATTGAAAGTAAATAATAGATTTTTGTTTTCCTATGTTTATAAAAATGTAAGTTTTTCCAGTGATTTCTCTCCGTGGAGACAGAGGTGCGAGAAAAAACATTGTTGATATAAACAGTCTAGATCTTAACTTGGAGCCACAAGGCCAAGGGTAATTTTTAATTGTTAAGGGAATTTTTTGAATTCTTAAAGGGTTGATTTTATATAGGGTCATTGCTATATTATGTGTATATTGTTTGAATAATTTTATATATTTTTAAAAATGTAAGTTTGGGGAAGGTTGTAAGTGATTGATTTATCGTCTAGTTTAATCTTGACAGATTGACTGGGAGGATGATACTTAATATCTGTAAGAGGTAACTCAACAGAGACTATGATACATCCTTGAGTAGTTCAAAGCACTGGTTTCCCCAAATCCACCAGCCCATCAAGATTTGTGTTTAAAAAAGTTGAGTAAAAACCTGATAACCTAACACGTAGTCGTCATAAAGATGATTATACACAATGTAAGTGCCCACTGCAACAAACAGTCCAAGCCTTAACTGAACAAACATCCCTTGAGCATCTCTGATCTAGGGAGTGTTTATCACGTTCAGGTCCAAATCGCACATAGTAGGGCAAGAACCGAGAGTGCCCAATGACAATTTTACGACAAGATGTGACAATATGAGCAGGTAATGACAGAAAATGACAGGAAATGACAAGGAATGACAAGGAATGACAAGGAATGACAAGGAATGACAAGAAATGACAAGAACAGACAGGAAATGACAGGGAACGACAATATTCAACAAACCGTGGGAAAAAGGGCACTCTCGGTTCCTGCCCATGCCCATAGTAGCAGGTTACAGAGTACTAAGTACTTTTTCTTAAACTTCTCCAATGGATGATTTTCTGTCAGGTGCTTTAAGAATTGAAATGCCTTTGGTCATTGTGCAATTCCTCCTGCTGTACTGAAAACTAGTGGGGTGATGGTGGCTTTTCGGTGTGTACAAAAGCTTCCAGGCCCGCACATTCCTTGCCCTGTTAGTTGCTTGTCCGTTTACAATCCAATTAGCAGTTAAGGACAGAAAGTCATATACACTAAATGAGCATTATATTTTCATTGTTATAATTTGTTGATTCTGTAAAATGTGCTAAAATTAAATTTTTTTTCATTGATTTCTTGTTTCATTGAACATCCAGAACTCTTTGATTATATTCAAGTTTTTCGTTATTATCGTGTCCTAGGTGAATCTGTGAGATGCTCATGTCACTGTTGGACTGGCCTTATGGGTAAAGTACCCTTACATCTAGTCTGCGAATACTCTTTCTAACAGAAGACTTGTACTGACATCTAGTCTTCCACTCTATTGTGCCATTTGATAGTTCAATTATTGGTGGCACAGAGAGTAGCTGCAACCCTGTTTCAGCTTCTTTATTAATTTCACATTTCCTACATTTCAAATTTGGTACAAGCCAGCCTGATTTCTTAATGGCTATATATTTCTAGCTTATTAGGTCCTCAAGGTGGGGCCATGTCATTCTATTTATTACAATGCAAATTATATATGATAAAAATAACATATTATTACACAGTTCAAGGCAAATGTAACCACTTGTTGAGGACAATGGTGTAAAGAATGAAACTTTTTAAACTTTTTCTATGCCAATGTGGCGTTGGTCGAACTGACAGCATAGACAGAAGCAACAGCAGTCTACTTGCTGTTCCCAGTGACATCTACAGATATTCCCGCTCTCTTGAAGAACTCATCCTAAAAAATAATCAGGTATTAAGATAGATTTAACGTTACAAAAACATTCTGTCTTAGTTTATTTAATTTGTTAACTGACCTGTTTTGGGATAAATGGAGTGCTCCAGCAATTCTTAATGTTGTTTGTTTCTTTTTCTTTTAAATGTTAATAATATTATGTACTTTTTGAACAACTGATGTATATTGTACATATTGAAGAAAATGTGTTCGTTCATTGAAACTCATTTCAGATAAAAGAACTCCCTAAGCCATTTTTCAATCTTAAGCGTTTAAAACGGTTAATATTGAAAGATAACGATTTGTGCTATATTCCCAATGACATTGGAAATCTAACACATCTTAATGAACTTGATGTCAATAATAACGGTAAATATTAGTTTCCCAGTTCTAAAAATGACAATATTAGATACTGATCAGCCATTTAATTATATAGCATTTATATTAGCTGAGTCATAGTTGCGTAAATTTGTCTTGACCCATAACGGCAGTACAATACTGCTTTTACAATTAACCCACATTTTTGCTAATAAACGAATCATTTCAATCAGGCATACAAGGATTACCAGAAAACATCAAGTTCTGCAAAAATTTGCAAGTTATAGATCTTGGAAACAATCCTGTTGATGCGTAAGTTGATATTTGTTTGTTTCAAAATTTCCTCAAATTATCGTATGTAAATATTTGATATTTCTGTTTGTTACCTCCTTATAGAGTCAGTAAGAATATTAATTAATAAAAATTAATTCCCCGTAAGTATTAAGTAAAAATGTAATTGAACAGGGTACCGAACGGATTACTTCAAGTGAAATGTCTGACTTCACTTGCCCTCAACGACACGAATATAGTGGAGTTACCATCAGCGATTGGAAACCTGAACAAACTAGTACAGCTTGATCTTAGGGAAAACATGCTCGAGAGTATTCCTCAGTAAGTGGACAGTTTACTTTTTATACATCACAGCCTCTTTTTGTAATGAAATATCTAGTTCTAGATCATATCTTAAACCTTATCGGACATGAAAACATGGTAGCATATTATTTGAAAACATATTTGCTCTTGTTTGTGATCAGTTATTTGAACTATTTACACGTTTAAACTCTAGGACGATAGGCGCCCTGACGAGACTAGAGTTCCTGGACCTGGGAGGTAACCACCTGGAATCATTACCACAGAACATCACACACCTGGCCAATCTGGAGGAACTGTGGCTGGACTGTAACTCTCTCAAACGGATACCCTCGGTTAGTAATATATCTGGTGACAATAAGTATACGTTACCCTTCAGTAACAGTAAGTTCAGTGCTATTTCCACCCAAATGTGAGTTTTATCCTATAAACTCATTAGCCAGTACTGGTACAGTAGCCAGTACTGGTACAGTAGCCAGTACTAGTACAGTAGCCAGTACTGGTACAGTAGCCAGTACTGGTACACAGCTAGATACGAGTTAGTGTAACACACACACACACACACACACACACACACACACACACACACACACACACACACACACACACACACACACACACACACACACACACACACACACACACACACACACACACGCGTGCGCGTATAACAGCACAGTGCACAGATCATCGTATATCGTAATGATAATAAGGGTAGCTACCCAGTAACTGTTGATGGGTCCTTGTTACTTGCTACTCATAGTACTAAGACGAGAGTGCGTGCAGGCTTCACGATACATCGTACATGTTTGTCCAGTAATATCACAATATATTGTGATTTATATCGGGCTTGCTCCGTACTAATCGTTAGCCTCTAAACTCATAGTTTATCCTTTGCTGTGTCGGTTTAAATGAACGGTTCTGGGATATTTTACTGTGCTCAAGTGCATCGTACATCACTGTGTCACCTTTGATGTTGTGAGCTATTACAATTATGTATGTAATAATAATATGCGGATATATATTCGTACCATTTCGTTAATTGAATAATAAATATAATATGTACTGTAATGTAATAATACATTTGCGAGCTAATTTAATAATGTATACATTTTAAGCTGAGATTAGATTTACCCCGTGAGTGTGATATTGATTACGTAAATTGTACCACTAAAACTTCCGGCGTATCCCAGAATTACAGCTATTTTGTATGTGATAAGTATCTTGTAATTTGAGACGAGTGGAACTCAAATATTTCAGGAATGAAAACAGTGTTCGGCGCACACAAATTGTCGTTAATTTGATTGAATTAGAGCTCACATGATGTACAAAATTGTACTGCTAAAATTCGGATAGTTTACATTATTTGTCATTAGCGGTGCGAAGAAATCTCACGCTGTACAATTTAAATAATACTGGATTCTGGAAGCTAGTACAGGTATTTCTTTTTACTCTACATTGAACATCATTATTAAAACGTTAACTAATTCTGAATAAAGCTAAGTTTTATTCAGCACTTCTGGTCTTCACTGTCAACTAAATAAGTATGATATTTATCAGCATTAAAATTACAATTTCATCTCACAGCGTACACAGTATGACTAAAATGAACAGTTTTAATTAAATTTCAAATACCAAGCATCTCCAGATGAAGTGATATATTTTGTACATAATATTTTATGATTTTCTGGTCAGGTATGACGTCATATACGTCATAATATGACGACTTACCTAACCAGAATAAAACCATAACACTGCTTAACGCTCCAGATTAGTATTGTATGATAGAAAGTGTAAGGGTTCACAGACGGCGACATAACGTCACCAAATGTCATGTCCTTCATGAGTAATAACCGCGTGCTACATTGTACAACACGCGGGTCACAATGTTATGATTTTTATATTATATTGTTATCTATATATTATATGTTATTAACGGGCAATCGTCTTTAAATCAGAATAAGTCTGGTGTAGTAATAGATGTATTATTATTTATTTATTTATTTACAGTTCACTATGTTGAACTGCTTCTCAGTTACGAGTTAATTATCAGAATCATTGAAGTGATGAGTGATCTCCCTTTTGAAGATTACATATAGAGCCAAAAGTCCTTGATCACGAAGGTGATAATTGGTAGTTAATTACAAGTTAATTACAGTATAATTACCTTACATTGGGCGTAAGGTGATCACACTACTGGAAGAAACTTATTGTAATTGTATGTCCTCGGAACTCTTTAGGATAAGTCCTCCTAGCTCTGTGATGATGTTAGTGATTTAACCTAGAGATAGTCATCAACATTTTCCGACGCACATCATATTAATTTCCTGATAACGACTATCCATATTTCGTTCAATTAACTAAATAACCAAAACCTTGAACCGAAAAAAGTGTAAATGTTTTAATGGTTTTTATGAAATTCTCACCATGACGACAGCCTGGCAATTTGCCAACCCAGATTGGATATCTTTATCAGTAGGTTTGGTCAAATATTGTGGTTTTCACTTACAAATTGCGTCTTAACTCGCATGGAGTTTATATTCAAATTCCTAGGTGGATTTTGTGGCTTTTAGAACCAATCTAATAATCATTATATTATTTCCTTTTGAAAAAGCACTACATAAAATATAGATACGATCTGTATTTGATAAAAGGTCGACTTAAAGTTACATGGAGGCTAGGCCATGTTTAACATTATTTTGAGTGTGAACATTGCATTATTAACACTCTCTTGATACAATCTGTTAGGAGTGTGACTTTTTATATTGACGGGAGGACAAGAAGTTAAACTTTGACATTATTGGCACTGATGAAAAATATTGAGTGAAACGTTAGTTTGCTGTATTTTCCCCAGTTTGTTTTATCATAGACATAAGTTGATGTGAAGTTTGCAATTCTTGTGTCATTATTTGAAGATTCCAGCTCTTCACTGTAACTTCAGAATTCATATGTAACCAATTAGATTCCCTAAAATATAGTCAATACCTTCGTAGCCAACTCTACAAACATCATCGTAGCTAACTCTACTTGAAACATCATTTATAAAACACAAAATCAATCACTGCAGTGCTCTGACAAATATACTATAACAGTGTTCTCATAATTGCATGTAACAATACAGTAATTATTGCATAATGTTCAAACGTGGGAACTGGGAAGTATTACTTCCCGTGCAATTTTACTTGTCAACATATTGTATTGTTAATAATGTGCGCGCTAAACTTCACCTCTGTTAGACCCAGACTCCTTGATGATTTAGTAGACCTATTAATATACCTCTTATTCATATTATACAACCGGCAAACTAAACTTTTCACATGATGATAGCAAATACCAATCACGTAAAGTTAGAGCGCTCTGTACAACACGACAAAACAGTTGTATTTATGTTGAATATAAATAGATTTATTGAGTACTGTAGACAGTTTTAAGTACTATTAATGGATCGTTCATTTACGAGCTTTATAACTCTTATAAATACATTTTGCTAATAGTATTGTAGTATTCACAAGAAGCTCACGGAGATATACAGAAGATCTCACTGGTCACTCTTTAATGACAGCTGGAGATCACAAGAATGTACAGAAATCCTCCTTCACTTAAATGAAGATATCATTTGTAAATATCAGAACGTCATCGTTCAGTAGTCAGTATAGATAACAGTGTGTGCGGTCATGATATGAATAATATACTAACCAAAAGAGTAGTCGCGTGATCTATCAAATGTCACGTGATCTATCAAATGTCACGTGATCGATCAAGTTACATTTGACTGGTTTAATTTAGCACACATAATTACTGCAGTCAGCTGTGTAATTTGGGAAATATTTGTATAGTAGTACTGTGTAATCTGTGTACATGTTGTTGTCAGAGAGTGTAACAAATACTTTAGAAAATGTAGGTTACCAAAGAGTGTAAAGTAGGAGTATCAGTAAAGGTGTGATATGAGGAGGGAGGTATATAGATATGACGTAATGTTTGAAGCTGTCGTCAGTGTTATGTTCTCACTTTCTATTGTTGTAAAAGCCGACAGCACGTAGTCCAGTCCGATCCACCTGTGCCCTTTTATGCCCTTTTATGGGTATCACGTGTTCCCCAAATCATGATGTTGTAGTTTAACATTTTTTTCGTCGTATTTTGTTTTCAAGATTTCTTGTCGGCATCATCACAACGTAATTATTTATTGACATTTTCAAATCCAAATTAAGTAATACATGTTCAAGTATGCTCATAATACATGTTCAAGTATGCTCATCATGGTCACTCATTGAAGCTTATTGTTCCTTCTTGTAATTCAAAGTTTGGTGAGCGTAGCTTCTCTGTAGTGGCTCCAAAGATCTACAATCGTCTGCCTGTTACCATCACCTCTGCTCAATCTCTGGAATGTTTTAAAGCTTTTCTAAAAACTTACCTTTTCAAAATGTCTCCAGATGAACTTGAAAAACTTTATCGATAACTATTGTGGTCATATTTGGAATTCGATATTTGCATAATATATTTAAGTACCATTTTCGGGCTTTAGTATTGACGATATATTTTCAAGCATATGTTATTTTTTAGCTCAGTATTCATGATATTTTCTGGGATGACTAGTTCAAACACTGCTGAGTATAAGATTTATCTTAAAAGCGGTGTTATTAAATTTCAATTTATTATTATTATTAATAAATGAAGTGGTAGATATTTTAGTTGTGAAGTACGTAGAACAGCTGTATTATAGTCGGTAGTGCTACTACCGGTACTATAGTATAGTAGTTGTCGGTATTTTACATCACTTCCAGTTCAAATATGGAATTCAAACGTTCCAATTCTTAATTTTAAAATAGAGAGCGGAGAACCTATAAAAGTCATAGATATCCTCAAAACGAAATCATTTGCACTTTCATCAAACCATCTCGTGTCCACGGTATGTTAAATCCTCACCAGTTAGGTTGTTACAAAATCAACCTGAATATTTTATCTTAAGAAGCTTTGTATGTCAGCATTTTAACAGCTTGTCCGAACGTCTACAAACCTTAATATTAAACTTGGTTTAATGAACATAGTTTTAAACTTTTATAGGATCCAACTTTATATGCTCAGGAATTCACTGCACTTTTGTATGTGTAATTATGCCAAGATGACTTTTACTGTAATTCCCTGTAAGCAATCAAGCGAAAAATACACACTATTTGTCCTAAACGTTTGTTAGACATATAAAAAACTCTTGCCGTCTGGTGTTGTAAAAATAATTAACTACAAATTATCACGAAGCCCTAAAATTCACATTTTTAAATGCTGTTAATTGGCGCTGTTTGCCACATTTTTCACACAAATTTAACTGAATTCGTGAGACGTCTATAAAAAGTTTCCTCTCCCCCTCCTCTGACCTATAATTAATTTTCAGGAGATTGGGGAACTGCGGAGACTGGAAATACTGGACCTCTCAGATAACCAAGTGGAACACATCCCAGACGAGATATGTAACTGTGTCTCCATGACCCACCTCACACTTACCCAGAACTACTTACAGAGCTTACCTGCTAATATCGGTAAGTTACTTACACAACGCATAACAGTCTAAATACTTACAGAGCTTGTTTGCTTTATTTTCAGAGCTATACACTAGGGGATGCTATTAGCTTGACCATAAATAAACTGCCTGTTGACTATCCACCCTAGTCGGCTAGTCTTACCATATAAGACGAATTTTGCTTCATACACATAGCATGGCTTATTTAACTAATTTCCTTGTAATAAAGTTGGGCTTTAATATAGTGCAAATGTTGGTAATAGGTCTCCGCCACAAAGTTATGTTGTAATATTTATCATTAACTAAATCTGCTCGCCATAACCATGTGAACCACCCATCTTAGAAGCTTTGTGACGCAGTTGCTCTTTTATTGTAAGAGGGATGGTAAATTACTGGTAAATGACTGGTAAATGGCAGTTAGATTTTAATGTTACTACGCCTGACGCCCACTATACACACAAATACAGACTTGGAGGTTGCAGCAAATTGTCACGAAGCAACAAAATTCTTGCAGTTCTTGATCAATTTAAAAAATTGTTCACATGATGCCAGTCTGGGGGCGAGGTTTTTTGGAAAAGCTTATGATATAATGTATATTATACAGAGGAGCTTCAACAAGTCGAAAATTTCTTTAGACTCTTTGACAGTTCGGCCCCAAACTTTAGAAATTCGATTTTAGATACATTTTTACAGTTTTAATACTTTCAACACTACTATATAACAAATAATTTGAGGTATGACAATGGAAAGTCCACTGATATGAAAAGTGGTGAAGATAACACGGAGGAACCAATGTCTGAACAAGACGCTGCTGCTGCTGCGGAGACCTCTGCTGCGGAAACCTCTTCATCTCTGGATAGTACTCAACCTCAGGGAAGTCAATCTGCAAACTTTGCTCTGATTATCGATGATAAATGTATTTCCTGTCTTCATACTGGAGACAAATTACTGGAATGTTGGGATTGTAATAGGAATTTCCATGCTGTCTGCTTGAATTCAGATGACGATTCTGAGAAGGGTGGGAAAGAGATAATCTGCCCCTCCACCTTTTACAACTCTTTTCTTAGAGCCTCGAAGAAAGAGGGTGTCTGGGCTGAAAGAAGTGGTAACTTTACATTTGTGTGTGATCACTGTAAGGTGAACAAAGGTAAGAAAAATGCTGCAGCCAAGTCTGATAAATACACTCTTTTGGACAATAAGATTGATGCAGTGAACAATTCTTTATTAGTTGAGCTAAAAGAGCTAAAAAGCATGCTATCTATATCTCTTCAAAACAAGAGTGCAACTACATATCAGTCTTCGTCGATCTCAGATACTAACAAAGAATATAATCCTTGGCATGATAAGCAGAGAATAGATAATCTGTCTAAAGTGGTTTCTGTACAAAAGGACAATAAAGGTAAACTAATCAGCTCTGAAAAACTTGAAAAGATATGTGCACAAAATGGTGTCTCAGTGCAAAAAACGTTTCACATGAAGAAATCTAATACTACTGGAATGGTACTTAAGTCTCAAAATGATGTTGATGTTTTGACTGCTAAACTTAAGGATGCTGATCATCCAGTTGTGAAAGTGTCGACTAGAGTACCGACTGTTCACATTGTAGGATTATCTAAGGAATACACTTCAGAGGAATTAAAATCTATGATTGTAAAACAAAATCCTGGAATATCAACACTGTTTAAATGTACCTCTACGTCTACTGATGATAAACTGATCGATATCTTGGCTGTAAAACCTCTCAAAAACAATGCTCAAATCTTTAAGGCAATTGTCAAGGTCAGCAACGTTATTAGATCCATTCTTGCTCAACAACAAAACAAAGTGTATATCGGATATCAGTCTATGTGTAAAGTCTATGACAGTATCTTTGTTCTTAGGTGTTTCAAGTGTAAGGGGTATGGGCATCACAGCGGAGACTGTGATAATGATCAAGTTTGTGGGTTTTGCTCTGGAAATCATGAATCAAGACTTTGCATAAAAAAATCTGATGATCATGTCTTCAAGTGCTGTAACTGTGTCAAAGCTAAAAACGATGATACTGATCATCACACTGGAGACCCTAGGTGTGCTGTCTTTGTTAAACACCAGAACAGGATCAAATCAACAATTCCTTTTCATCAAAGCAAATTGTTGGGTTAAATCATTCCTCAGGTTTTAACCTCCTTCTCTTTAACCCTAGGTCACTCAACAACAAGACTGATATTTTGTAAGCCTTTTAGAGGACAGGAATATTGATATTGCTGCAGTTTGTGAGACGTGGCTGACTAGCAACTCATCTGTGACCACAGCTGTTTTAAGAGAACGTGGCTACTCTCTTCACCATAACTTCAGGTCTGATGCGAGAGGGGGAGGCACTGCGCTCATCTTCCGGAAAAGTTTGACTTGCTCTATGGAAAAGAGTAGAATTGTGTTTAAACACTTTGAACTCACAATGGGCACAGTCAAAACAACCTCCAACAAGATTCTATTTGTTGTATTGTACAGGACAGGACCCTTAACCTCATCTTTCACTCAGGAACTGGATATTCTGCTCTCTGATATTTCTACTCGATGTGACAATATTGTTCTAGCTGGAGATCTCAACATACACTTTGATAGTAATAATAGGGTTGCGTCTGACACTCTCAAAATACTTAAATCATATGGTTTTCATTCTCAGTATGATCGCCCAACACACATTGGGGGTGCATGTCTTGACCGGTTGTTTACTTTCTCACTGAACAACCATCTTCATTGCAATAATGTGTTTATTGACAATAGTGACACACTGGGCTCAGATCACTTTCCTATAATTTGTAACATCAGCAACACTTTGGGTAAGAAGTATTTCAAATCGATTGAATTCAGAGATATTAAGGCCTTAGACAAGGATGCCTTTTCATGTGAATTGAACGATGTTATTGATAAGTTTAGTTTATCGGGATCGTTCTCGACCTCTGTAATGACTCTTGGTGCCTCTATAGCAAACCTTCTTGATGAGTATGCTCCTTTAGTTAGCAAAAGAGTGTCTGTGGTGGACACAGCCCCATGGTTTGACAAGGATTATAGAGATCTGAGAAAACTACGTCGTTTAGCCGAAAAGAAGAAAAATAGATCAGAGGAACACTTTCTTCATTACAAAGATCTTTGTCATGAGGCTACTGCACTTGCTAACACTAAAAAGAAGGACTTCGTGGAAGCTGTTATTAAAAAATCGGAGAATAAAACTAGAACTCTTTATCAAGTCGTAAATAAGGTATTGGATCGTAAACAAAGCAGAATTCTACCTGACTACACTGAAGATATTGAAGTGCTCGCCTCTGACTTCAACAATTTCTTCTCAGAAAAGGTTGAAAAGATTCGAGATAACATACCAGCCTCCCCAATACCCGATTGTTCTGACACTAATGCAACACCTCTCTTTGAATTTGAGCCAACCTGTATCTCTGAACTTGAAGATATAATCAAAGAAAGTGGAATTAATTGTTCACCTAATGATGTCTTACCACAAGATCTTGTCAAAGATAATATCACTTCTCTGTTGCATGTATGGGTTGATCTAGTTAACCAATCGCTGTCATCAGGAAGTATGGATGGTGTGAAACTAGCTGATGTAATTCCGCTAATAAAAGATGATTCTCAGGATCCGAATATATTGAAAAACTACAGGCCAGTCTCAAACCTTACATTCCTGGGAAAACTAATTGAAAGAGTAGTTTTAAGAAGACTTAACGAGCACCTTAGTCGGAATAACCTTAATTGTCAGGAACAGTTTGCTTACAAAAAACACCATAGCACTGAAACACTCTTGATTAAAATAGTGAACGATGTCTTAATAGCAGCAGATGAAAAAACTGCTACTGTGGTGATGCTCTTGGACCTGAGTGCTGCCTTTGATACTGTGGACCATACTTTGTTACTCCGTATCTTGAAGCAAGAAATAGGAATCAGAGGAACTGCTCTTAGCTGGTTCACCAGCTTCCTTAAAGGACGTTGTCAGCGGACTAGACTCGGCAAATCTGTCTCTGAAACAATAACTATCCGATTTGGAGTACCTCAGGGCTCTGTTTTAGGCCCGGTACTCTTTAACATCTATATCAGATCGTTGTACAGATGTGTTAAAGAATCTGGTTTCTCCATTATTGGTTATGCAGATGATCATCAAATCATGAAATCTTTCAAACCCTCTGATCAGGTCAAAACCTTAACCAATCAGCTGAGAAACTGCTTCTTGAGGATAAAGAATTGGATGTCACAGTACTACCTGCAACTGAATGATTCTAAAACACAACTCATAGTCTTTGGACCTAGTAAAGTGCTCAGTGAGATAGAACTTCATGGCGTTGATATAGCTCCTAACACTTTGGTAATGTTTGTGCCTACTGTTAAGAACCTTGGATTAGTAATGGACAATCAGCTGGTATTTGATAAACAGATCGTAAATCTCAAGAAGAAATGTTTTCATACATTACGTAATATCAGAAAAATCAGATTTCTACTGAGTTCCAAACAGATTAAGATCATCGTTAACAGTCTAGTAGTGTCATGTCTAGATTACTGTAACGGTCTGTACTTTGGTATCGGCGAGAAGCTGCTGCATCAGCTCCAGTTACTTCAGAATGCTGCTGCAAAAGCTGTCACTGGTAAATATAAACATGACCATCTTGATGATGACCTGATAAAGCTTCACTGGTTAGATGTAAAGAAAAGGATTGTCTTCAAAATCTTATTACTATCTCACAAGTCACTGTTAGGATTGGCACCAATTTATCTGCAGGACATGTTCAAGTATGCTCATCATGGTCACTCATTGAAGCTTATTGTTCCTTCTTGTAATTCAAAGTTTTGTGAGCGTAGCTTCTCTGTAGTGGCTCCAAAGATCTACAATCGTCTGCCTGTTACCATCACCTCTGCTCAATCTCTGGAATGTTTTAAAGCTTTTCTAAAAACTTACCTTTTCAAAATGTCTCCAGATGAACTTGAAAAACTTTATCGATAACTATTGTGGTCATATTTGGAATTCGATATTTGCATAATATATTTAAGTACCATTTTCGGGCTTTAGTATTGACGATACATTTTCAAGCATATGTTATTTTTAGCTCAGTATTCATGATATTTTCTGGGATGACTAGTTCAAACACTGCTGAGTATAAGATTTATCTTAAAAGCGGTGTTATTAAATTTCAATTTATTATTATTATCTTACAAGAAGTCAGGGATATCCGATATAATAAAAATGTGCTGGATAAGGTCAAATGACTCGGTACCTGCCCCATTGACCATGTAATTGTGTTATCTAGTCCAGTTTTAAAAAGTGTCTTGTTTCAGTTCAATAACCACAATTCATTGATTTTATCCAGTACTGTCATGACGGCAAAATCAGGAAATCGAATATCTCAATTCTTGATATTCCTTGCTATTTTTTCGATGAAAAGTAAAATGAATAGTCCATACAGGAAATCTTATCTTTAATAACCGATAACAGCTTGTTAAACAGATCTATTTAGACTATTGATTAATGCTTGTTATGTTGTCCATCTTGCCGCTTGATAGCACACTTACATTATTATGTATGAGATATTATATATGATAATTGACATTGTGTACATTATTTCAGGTAATATGAAGAAATTAGAGATTCTGAAGATGACACATAATCGGTTAGCTGAGTTACCAGCTTCTGTGGGCAGGTGAGATAATGAAACTTTTAAATATTAGATTACATAATTACATAATTACATCATTATCGTTTGCATATTTTAGATTACTTTATAGTAATACCACATAAGCTTCTCACATATTTCGGATGTTTTCATTACAACGGAAACAATCTAAATTGGTGGGCAAACTACCTGTTTCATAATTATGACGTCATAACAAGACCAATAATTCGTTATTGGTATTTATCTTGTAGCAGACTGTTTTCCTTATAAATTGGTTCTTGTTAAAAAGCTCCTGATTTTCATTTGAGCACTTTCTGAGAAACTAGAACTAAACAACTTAAAACTCATAAGCATTTTGGATACTTGCACAATCATACTATTCTGGGTATACTTGTAGATTGTAGTTGTGATCTTAAAAGTTTGGCATTTATTTTGTAGATTTTTACATTCTCAGTCCTGTACCGCCTTTATACACGTTTTATCCCGCATTGTCTACGTTTGATATTAAATAGAAATTCATCAACAATTTTGTATTCCAGCCACAATTACAGTAGATGTCAAAGAAAAAATTTGATAAAATTTGACAATACCATAGCTTCAAAGGCTAAAGCGGATCTTTAGTACCAATTTTTGTCTGAACGGAATAGCTTATCTAATATCGAGCATTTAAATACAAGACTGTAACCTTAGCTCATGGTATATACGATTATATACGAGTCATGCAATGTGACAACACCTAAATTCATATAAGAAAGTTGTGCTGTAAAACGCTGACTTCTCTTGAGTTCTCTTCTGCTGCAATTATTGTAGACAGTATCTCCCTCGCATAATAAACGTTAGTAGTATGCCAAGCCAGCAAAACTATACATGATTTATATACAAAACTATACATGATATATATATATATTACCTATAGTTTTTCTCGCTTTATATAATATTACAAATGTTTAAATATTACATATGTTTAAATACCTGTTGGGTGTTATAATGATACCTGTCACGCCTTGTTTGGCTCTGTCACGCCTTGTTTGGCTGTACTATACTGGTTTAGTTCAATAAAACTAAGCCATAGTTTTAACTTTAAGAAGAAGTTGCTATGTAATTGTTATGTAATTGTTAATGTAATTGTTATGTATTTGTTCTGTAGTTAAGTACAAATAACACATAGATGATAAGAGATATAATATCAAATGATTGTCGAAATAGTCATACTGTAATAAAATATTCTTAACTTAATAATCAGCTATTAACTCCGCAAATGTTTTCTTACTGATGGGTAATCAGAAACAGATCTTACTTCTCGCCAAGTATTTACTATAATATTATGTTGAAATCTAAATTATTACTTATCTACAATTAAAAAGACTTGAAACAGTTCCCTGTGACTGTTCCATGAAAAAGATCAGAGTTTATCAAAAATGAATAAACAACACTCATGTAACCGAGCCCAGATTATCCAGCAATAATCAGCAAAACTTCGCCATACATTTTTTAACCAGTGCTAAATTCGGCACTAAATTATACACTACCATAAAGTTAGTGTGATGTGTGATGTTGATCTTTACCGATCACATGATACCATAATACACTGTGTAAACGTTACACGCTAATTGTGTAGTAATGTGACACGCGACTACAGTTTGGATAGATCCAGTATATTAAAGTGGCTCATTTGGTTGGCAACACGGAATGCCCATAGATTGATTATTGTAACTGGTGTGCTCTGAAAGATAAACTCATCACATAGAATTTCACAGATCATGAAATTAGAACTGTGTACACTGTACCCGCAACTAAACTCAATCACTTCTTGATAATGTGATCTTCAGTATCATAATATCTGCTGTTACAATATAAAACATAAATACACGGACACACAGGACAAAGTGTGTAGATTTCAGATCCTAGCCTTGTCAGTCGAGTAAATCCTAGCGTTTCATACTCAAACTAGCGCTATAGCGCTGTCTAAATTAAATTAAGCTTAAGTACGTCTAATTATAGAGTATACTCGGTGTTGTGAAGGAAGTTCGTCTAGATAATGAGCATATATACAGGATCATTGTTCAGTACAGACACTACACCCTAATAACATAATGTATTATATTATATATAATGTATACAATACGCACTGTAGTGTAGTAGTTAAGAGTAGCAGAGTAAATTTAACGTAGAAGATCATGGACCTCAGGGTCTCCAGAGAGAACTTACACTGTTGACAGATTACAAGGGTTGTAACACAGGTACAAACCACACAGCTTCAGTGCTACTGCTACCAGTGTGATTGTGTGACTGTAGTGAGTGTGACGTGATCAGGGTGCTACACAATGTGTAGTGGCTTGTAGGGTATCTTGGTAGTGCAGCTACCTTGTCAGCTGTGTAATACACTAAGAATAGAGGGGGGGGTCCAACTACAAAAAATACGAATACGAATTTCAAATTTTAGGGGTGCGTTCGTATTTTTTGGTATTTTTTGGTATTTTTTACCAAAATTTTTTTACTCTAGAAATAACGAAATATCCCAGAGAAATGGATCTATAAATCCATTGGTATTCTCCGTTGTATCTTTGTATATTACACTGTATGACATCAGAGAAGATAAATAAGACGCAGCAAAACTGGTGAACAAATGAAAATGTAATACTACGATTACCTACTAATTAATAATTGGAGTTTAGCTGCTTGTCAATCTCACGTAAGCGTAAATGTCAAAATCACTGGGATATTATCACAATTCAGATATTATGATGTATTAATTGTGATTTATGAAGGTCTTTGAATGCTACATCACAGAATATTATTGCCAAATACGCATACTTTTAAAATCTGGTAAGTTGGGTCCCTAAAACGAAATTTAATCAGCTTCGGCTGAACCCATTATATATTATAATATATAGACTTATAGACTATAATATGGCACATTCATATTAATATTCTATCAGATCTTTCTTTAGATAAACTTATTACACAAAGTAGTCATGGTTATAGTAACAGCTTAAATTCCTTCTAGGATTAAAAATAGAGAAAAACTTCAAATTCTCTTAGTGATCTTCAAAAGTTCTTTTGATAGGTAAATCTTACCATCTACATCAGACTTCACCCAAACATAATAGTTCTGATGGGTAGAACATAAGGAGTTAGTGGGTACACGGCAGACAGACGACCTGTCAGCCTTGCTGAATTATATATGCGATGTTGACATGAACAGAGCCTGCCTGCTTGAATTTTTTCTTGTCGAACCAGCCCTGGTCACCAACAGCTACACGTTTACAGTCTTTTCCAAGCGATTCACATGGCCGAGAAAGTGACACCCTGGCGATACTGTAGCCTTTGATTCTCCTTTGGCGTGTATGACCTGCCATTGATGACCGACCGTCGTTCATGAACTTCTCAGCAGCAGTATCAACATGGTACCAGCGGCCGTCGGTTGTGAGAACTCCAGTTGACTGGTTATAAATCTCCATTTCATCATCATCATCATTGGGAGCCTCAAGCTCAGCCTCTTCCCTGTCATCATCATCAACTAGAGTGTAACAGTCGGGTTCAGTAGGTATATCGAGTTCGCACCGGGACAGCTTTGTGTGAGCACGAATCATATCCTTCCCCATGTCGATGCCTTCCCTGAGTGCTTTCCTAAGTTTCTTGAGGCTGGTGTCTCTGCCCTTGTACACCCGTGTTTGGTTGGGATCGGGAATCAGTGTCTTCCACCGAGTTTGTGCAACGTCATTCGCAACAAGATGGCTGCCTTTCGCATCAAGCTCAAGGCACCGATTTTTCCTTGCTGCCACGTGCACAACCGAAGCACTCGATAGGTTCGTCTGGCGTCCTTTGTGGAAGAAAGAGGAGGAGGACTGAGGAGGAAGGGGAGGAGGAGGAGGAGGAGGACTGAGAAGGAAGACGAGGACGAGAACGAGGAGGACGACCATGAGGAGGACTGAGGACGAGGACTGAGGTGGGGAGGAGAACTGGAGGATGACTGAGGAGGAGAAGGACTGAAGAGGACTGAGGAGGAGTAAAAGGACGAGGACTAAGGACGAGGACTGAGGACTGAGGACGAGAGCGAGGACGAGGAGGAGGACGACTGATAAGAAGGAGAAGGAGGAGGATGAGGACTGGGGAAGGACTGATGAGTAGGAGGTCTAAAGACGAGGAGGACTGAGGACGAGGAGGACTGAGAAGGAATACGAGAACGAGGAGGACGACTATGAGGAGGACTGAGGAAGAGGACTGAAGAGTGGGAGGAGAACTGGGGGGATGACTGAGGAGGAGAAGGACTGAGGAGGACTGAGGAGGAGGAGGAGGAGGAGTAAAAGGATGATGACTAAGGACGAGGAGGACTGATGACTGAAGACGATAGCGAGGACGAGGAGGAGGCCGACTGATAAGAAGGAGAAGGAGGAGGACTGGGTAAGGACTGATGAGGAGGAGGTCTAAAGACGAGGAGGACTGAGGACGAGGAGGACTGAGAAGGAAGACAAGGACTAGGAGGACGACTATGAGGATGACTGAGGACGAGGACTGAGGAGGGGGAGGAGAACTGGGGGATGACTGAGGAGGAGAAGGACTGAGGACGACTGAGGAGGAGGAGGAGGAGTAAAAGGATGAGGACTAAGGACGAGGAGGATTGAGGACTGAGGACGAGAGCGAGGATGAGGACTGAGGACGAGAGCGAGGATGAGGAGGAGGCCGACTGATAAGAAGAAGAAGGAAGAGGAGGAGGAGGACTTGGGAAGGACTGATGAGGAGGAGGTCTGGGGGAGGACTGAGGAGGAGGATGATGACTTAAGGGGGCAGGGGGGGTCTTTATGAAATTTCTCTCGAAATTGATTTTATAGTTGTTTCTGATAGAGGGGAGTGATATCTACCAGATGTTTTTGGTCTGGGGGAGAAGAAGGAGGAAGACTGAGGAAGGATGAGGAGGACTGAGGAAGAGGAGGAGGAGGACTGGGGGAGGACTGATGAGGAGGAGGACTCAGGAGGAGGAAGAGGACTGTGGAGGAGGACTCAGGAGGAGGACTCAGGAGGAGGACTGAGGAGGAGGAGGAGGTGGAGGACTAAGGACGAGAACGAGGACGACTATTAGGATGACTGAGGAGGAGGACTGATGAGGAGGAGAAGGAAGATGAGAAGGAGGGGGAGGATGAGGACTCAGGAGGAGGAGGATGAAGAGGAGGACTCAGGAGGAGGAGGAGGAATACTTAAGAGGAGGAGAAGGAGTACTTATGAGAAGGAGTAGGAGGACTCAGGAGGAGGAGGAGGACTCAGGAGGAAGAAGACTTAGGAGGAGGAGAAGGAGGAGGAGGAGGAGGATCAGCAGGAGGACTGGGGAAGGACTGATGAGAAGGAGGTATAAAGACGAGGAGGACTGAGGACGAGGAGGACTGAGAAGGAAGACGAAGACGAGGAGGACAACTATGAGGAGGACTGAGGAGGGGGAGGATAACTGGGGGGATGACTGAGGAGGAGAAGGACTGAGGAGGACTGAGGAGGAGGAGGAGGAGTAAAAGGATGAGAACTAAAGACGAGGAGGACTGAGGACTGAGGACGAGAGCGAGGACGAGGAGGAGGCCGACTGATAAGAAGGAGAAGGAGGAGGATGAGGAGGACTGGGGAAGGACTGATGAGGAGGAGGTCTGGGGGAGGACTGAGGAGGAGGAGGAGGAGGAGGACTGAGGAGGAGGAGTACTGAGGAGGAGAAGGAGGAGACTGAGGAGGAGGACTGGGGAGGACTGAGGAAGGAGGAGGAGGACTGAGGAGGAGGAGGACTGGGGGAGGACTGATGAGGAGGAAGAGGACTGTGGAGGAGGATGAGGAAGAGGACTCAGGAGGAGGACTCAGGAGGAGGACTGAGGAGGAGGAGGAAGAGGACTAAGGACGAGAACGAGGACGACTATGAAGAGAACTGATGAGGATGGCTGATGAGGAGGAGGACTGGGGGAGGACTGAGGAGGAGGAAGAGGACTGTGGAGAAGGATGAGGGCTCCGGAGGAGGACTGAGGATGAAGACTGAGGAGGAGGAGGAGGAGGAGGAGGACTAAGGACGAGAACGAGGACGACTATGAAGAGGACTGAGGAAGAGGACTGATGAGGAGGAGAAGGAAGAGGAGGAGGAGGATGAGGACTGGGGAGGAGGAAGATGAGGAGGAGGACTCAGGAGGAGGAGGAGGAATACGTAAGAGGAGGAGAAGGAGGACTGATGAGAAGGAGGAGGAGGACTCAGGAGGAGGAGGAGGATTTAGAGGACTCAGGAGGAAGAAGACTTAGGAGGAGAAGAAGGAGGAGGAAGACTCAGGAGGAAGAAGACTTAGGATGAGGAGGAAGAGGAGGACTGAGGATGAGGACTCAAGCCAATAATAAGCATGTGTCACGATACAAATGTACTTGATTATACATTTAAGGTGCAGTGTACTATAGTGATATTATGGTATGTTTAAAGACCGGACCACAAAATATAACCCGGTACCTAATGTTGTACTAATACATAATAACAAGTAACAGGAATAAAATCAATGAGCAGAAACAATCGATTTCACTAGAGGCGAAAGCACTCGGGTCTGGGAGTACATGATAACTCCAACTAGTAGTGAGCATACTAGCCCCTGCAGTGGAAAAACACATAAAACATACTAATGGAATGTCCAATTGGTTCGTTTTCTCATCACCAATATATAGCATACGTATTATGTAGGGGTTCTGGTTGAATTATATCACTTCTGAGAGGTTTTAGAGATCGATTCTGTAAATTTCTCAATTTTCCGATTTTTCCGATTCCGATTTTGGCCTCATCAACCCTCATATCGGAAATCACGATCGGGTTGGACCAATTTCCAATAAAACATAAAATGGATCACAATATATCCCAAATTTTAATAAAAAAACGATAAAAAGGGAGCGAATTTCAAAATTTTGTGTGGGTTCATCGTTTTTGTTGTTGCACCCCCAGGTTTTATGTATGATACATGATGGTTTACATAATATTTTAATGTTTCTTCACTGCTAAGTTGAGCTTAGATCTGATTAATTACGAAGATGTGTGATCTTCTATTTATCAAAATGACGATTTGTAAAAAATACGAAAAAATACGAATACGAATTTGAAATTTTAGGGGTGCGTTCGTATTTTTTGTAGTTGGACCCCCCCCAATAGAGCTCACAATTACAGAGCTCTGTGTTTTCTATTCATGAGGTTTTGTGTGTGTCATGTTGTTGCGTGTAAACTGCATGATATCCAGGAACTTAGTTTGTAAGGAATCAGTGTATACTTGTTTCAGGTTTATGTAGCGTGTGCACTGTGGGGCTACAGTCTACACTTAGTTTAAACCCTCACTAGAACAAGAGTAGTTTATAAACAGCAGCGTGATGGTGCAGCGTGAGAGTTTGGAAGTTTTGAGAGTTTGGAGAATTAAATGAAATTGTGGCTGTCACAGATGAAAGCTAAATCATAGTCCTCAAAGATGAGTTAGAATTAGTTAACCCATTTTAACCTCTATAGCCTCAGTAACTCTTTACAATAACTGGTTACTGGAGCGGTACTCTTGGGATGTGTGTAGGCTTTAACTTTAGATTATCTCGTAAAATACCGTTATTTTACCTTGTTGTTAATTGAAGGGTAGGGTACTAGCCAAACTAACCATGTTGATCATCACTCATGTTGATCATGTGACATGTCAATGATTCGACAAATTGTATGGATAATGATACGGAAATGTTCTGAGCCACTTTTTGGAAAGATTCTGTCGCACGCTTAAATGATAATTAATGGCAATTTGCAGGCAATTCTTCACGGAATATTTATTATCCAATTCTGTCAGTAAACAAAAAAGTGAACGCCTATTAATGTAATAGTACCGGTTTTTAGTCGCATAATAAGAACATTCCAGCACCACATGAAGACTTACAGTTGAACCAAAAATACGTCATAAGAAGTAAAAACACCGTAATAAGAAGTAAGAATCCTGCATTTTCTCTCCAATAAGGTTTCTTTGGCGTCCTGACAGAACTCGGCGTTATTTCCGTTTAGTTTGACATGTTCCGGTACCAACTGTCATCTTATTTTCTCCCATCAAATTATTAACACTATAATTGCCAAATGTTCAACATGACACAGATGCTGTACTGGCGTACTGTGCCCACATTTTAAGATGTAAATACATTTTAAGAGACGTATTATTAGAGTTGGATAAGAATGGCTAGAAAGAGTTATTTTTAATGAGAAACAATCAATTATTTTGTCTGGGATCAGCTCACTGTCAGTAAACGAATAAACCTTGAACACTAATCACGTGATCATGCTCGGATCATTTGTTATATCTGAGAAAGTATTATTATATCTGAGAAAAGTTGTATTTCTGAGAAAAGTATTATATCCGAAAAAAGCGTTATTGGTGACGTTACAGAATTGATTTAATGTAGTCCGAGGAGATGTCGTCTATCTTGTCTCGTATCTGAGAAAAGTATTTAAACGTTTATACATGACGAGATGATCGAGACACCTGTCCTATTATCTGATGATAACCAATCTTTACAGTAATATGTAGGATGAACCGTTATATCGCATGCACTGCTTGATTCAAAGAGAATTGAATGGTTCATAAATTAGATTACACATTACACATGACATGCTGTATATTTTATGTATTCCCTCACAGTATCAGTGTACCTTTAGAAGTCTACTTTAAAGTGACCGGTGAGGTAATTTATATTACACGTGATATCGATTAGCCAATCAGCGTCCAGTAACCGATCAGTGACACGTGTCGACTGTCGGGACGAGTACCACCTCCCCACTGTTAACCGTTCCCCACTACCTGTATTACTGTGTATTAGCCACGCTTTCAAACACGCCTCTTTATATTTACTTTAAAGCGTGTTGGAACCTTATTTGGATTATATTATTTATTTTGTACGTGTAATTTTGTCATGTTGAGATGTCAGGTTTGTTAGTAATTACCCAATTAACGACTAATAATATAATTGCTTCAGCTGTACCGCCATGACGGAGCTACATCTCGGAGAAAACGATTTGGAGGTGAGGAAATCTTGTATTTTTGTAAAACGCTGGATGATAATTACTTGTGTAATAATAGCTAGTACTGTTTTCTATACCACCGTGAATTAGGTGGTGCTCTTCACTTATTCCAGCTCGACATATAATAGTTAAACAATCTAGGCATGCAACCTGCCAATCCGAAATAAAGGTGATCGCAGCCCTTACGGAAAACTATCTTCATTTTCCTAAATTTAATGATACAGAACGTCAGCTTATTGTCTAAACTTAATTTAAGTGCAAATTTAATTCAAGCAAAATCAACTCGCAAAATATCTGGTCGAACCTCTCACTTCAGGAGCAGCTGTTGATTTTAAGGCAATTTTTAAAGAGCCTTAATAATATCAACAGCTGCTCCTTCACATTGACATTGAACGTGGCCATTTAACAGTGCATCTGGTGGTGAAAAGGTTTAAGGTGAAAAGGTTTAAGGTTGCGTACTACAGAACAAAAGCAATGACCCCCACCAGAGAATTTTTAGAGAATCAATAGACCTGAACTGTTAAACCAATCTCTCTTCATTTCATTAAACGATCTGTTGCAGAGAGAATTAAATAAACCACTTCACATGACCTTCACATGACCTTCACATAACCCCAATAAAATTATACTGTTATGTATCATATGATTTTGTAAACATTGGCCGGTGTACCAAAAACCGGTCCCCAAACAAACTACTGACTCTAACATTCTAGCTAGAACGACGATATTATCACGTACTCAGAAAATTTCGTCTAGCTAAATAATAAATTCATCTCGTAATTTGAAATGAACAGCTGGTTCAAGTTAAAAGAATTATCCTGTGGAGATAAAAGACATTTTTCATGAAACATGGATTTCATTGTAATAATTGAGTAAGATAAGTCCTCCTTTACAAATACTGTACTTGGTAACCTGGCGGACACAACTCCTGGTACTACCTAATCTTCACCGATCACGTTTTTCCACCTAACCCTGGCAAAAGGCAAGTAGTGGCGATATCATGCCTCAAAGTTCAATTTTGCACCACATCCGGGCCTTTTTTGCAATGATTTAATTTGTGAGATAATATTATTCCATAATTGTGTTGGTATTTGCTCCAGAATTGTCCAGTAATTTGCTCCAGAACGCTCAAGCGCATGACACTACCACACGAGGTGGTGAGGGGGGGGTGGGGTATAAAGAGGACCTCTCCGCTCAGAGAGCTTCATTCTGCACCCTGCACAGCGGGTTCTGCTGCACCCTGCACTTTTGTTGAGCTTTTCACACCATACCTGCTTTAGTAGTAGTGCCGAAAATATTTTGTTTGCCATTTTGATGATCCAAAGTAAGGAACAACGAGTTTCTCTTGCCATCTCTGTTATTCCCAATACGGCGAAATGGCGAGAAGTTTGAGTAAAAATTCGATCTGATAATATATGTATTCTTGTGTAAATTTGTATTGATCCCGTTTGATGCGACAAGGAAAATGCTCTTATCAGAAAAGGGAATTTCTCAACGTTTCAACGTTACAACATCGTATTCATGATCTAAAAATAGATCATGAATACGATACCCCCCCCCCCCCCCCCCCCCCCCCTTTTTATACTAACATTTGTACCAATTTTAGCCTGAAGATGGCGTTGATGTTGGTATTTCTAACGATCATCTTAGCTTTGAAAGCTTCAGCACAAGTCCATCAGTGTGAGGCTGCAACTAACACTGCCGGCATTGTCCAAGGAAGGACGGTAACGTTAGAAGACGGAACAACGCAAATACACGAGTTCCACAAAATACGCTACGGGGAAGCTCCAACAGGGAACCTTAGATTTAGACCACCACAGCGGCACACAGTCCCCAAGTCCACCAAGGTGATGGCAACTAATGATACCCCCATGTCCTGTGTGGATGGTAATGGTAACGGAACTGAGGATTGTCTCTTCCTTCACGTACGGTCTCCAGACTTGCAAGGCTCCAGACCTGTTATTGTTTGGATTCACGGTGGAGCACTCATATGGGGCTATGGGAATATGCCAGAGTACTCTTTTGACTCGGAGACCACCCACCAAGTAGATGCTGTTACCGTCAACATCAACTACAGACTTGGGTTCCTGGGGTTCAGCTCTGTTAGTGAGTTGTGGGATGAAGGTGAAGGAGTGTACGCTAACAATGGTATCAGAGATATGATCGCAGCTCTGGATTGGATACAAGAAAACATAGCTGCCTTTGGAGGAGATCCAAACTCTGTCACAATTATTGGACACAGCGCAGGTGGTACTTCCGTTCTGGCGCTAACCTGCTCTCCTATGGCTAACAACAAGTTCCATGCAGCTGTCTCCATGAGTCCAGCACCTGAGATGAGAGCCTCGCACGTTGTAGGGGACCTCTTTCAGCGAGACTATGTGTCCAACTACTTGGGGTGTAATCAGCCCAGTCCTGCTGCGCGGAAACATTGCTTGCTGCAACTTGATGCTAGTAAATTTAAATCCCCTCTACAGGACTTTTCTGGGTCTGGTTATTTCAATTTCCCAATGGTTGATGGGATTAAAGGTGAAGCGTTTGGGTACATCATGATTGACCCTGTGGTGGTTACAATCGCTCCAAGAAATCTGAAAGATGCTACATTCGCTCCAAAGGCACCTATTAAAATTATAGTGTCCAGTACCGCTGAAGAAATCACGGACAATGCTTTCCCGACAGACAATGAAGCCCATAAATACATGGAAGCCAACTTACTGAAGCTGACCCACAGAAGCGATATACTGAACATGGTCTACCAGCAGTTCTATCCTGGGAAAACGGCTAAAGATGCCTACAGTCTTCTTGTAACTGACATGCGGGCAACATGTCCTACCAATGAAGTAGTTGGAGCCATGTCCCTCAGCAGGAACCGTGAAATGTACAGGCTGTACGTTACACATCACTCTCCAGGGTCGGGACCAATTCACGGGTACACTGCATGTTTCCTGTTTGGAAGTTATAAAACAGCAATTAAGTCGCTGACTGAGACAGAGCATCAGTTTGCACGACACATGCATGACATGTTGAAGAACTTAGCATGGAGCAGATATTTGGAACATGGATGGAATCCCTTCCCTGCAACATCCATGGAATTTGAAAAAAGCCCACGGATTTCTAAGATAACAACGACTCAGCCACAACAACTGGTTTGCCACTACCTTGCACACCTCGGTCTAACAAAGTACGGGTGGCAGAATTAGTTGGTTTGGTTTGGTTGACAGTGAAATATTTTATTTGGAATAAAAATGTTTCGTTTTATTTTGTCTTTCTTTTTGTTTCTTGAACCTTGCCAAAAATCAATAAGTATTTAGATGTGTGCTTTATTTACAGGGAAGCTCTCAATTCATTGCCCACACAACCCTAAGTAGATAGCTCACGTATTTCTAGTCAAAATTGCACAACATTGCAAAATGTTGAACTGTAATTCTTACCAGAATGACGTGAGTTTTTAATAGATTCTTGTGGGCAGTGAATTCTGGACCACTCTGTAGGTGTAAGATACACATCACATACTTCGGAAAACTATCTTCATTTTCCTAAATTTAATGATACAGATCGTCAGCTTATTGTCTAAACTCATTTAAGAGCAAATTTAATTCAAGCAAAATCAACTCGCAAAATATCTGGTCGAACCTCTCACTTCTTTGAACTAAACGAGAAGATAAACTTGCGATGCAGTTAACTGTTCTTCCATGCTGGCATTTAACAACAATATAACTCTTATTCATTCGACCATTTAAATTATTCAAAAGTTTTCATGTTCAATGTAAAAAAAGGAGCAGCTGTTGATTTTAAGGCTCTTTTTTAAGAGCCTTAAAATCAACAGCTGCTCCTTTTGACATTGAACATGGCCATTTAAGGTTGAAAGGTTGCGGACTTGTACTACAGAACAAAAGCAATAACCCTCACCAGAGAATCTTTAGAGAATCAATAGACCTGAACTGTTAAACCAATCTCTCTTCATTTCATTAAACTATCTGTTTTAAAGAGAATGAAATAAATCACTTCACATTACCTTCACACCTGACATCTATTATAAGATTCCTTTACATTAACTGTTCAACTCTTACTTCTTTTTATTCTATTTCTCAAACTTTTTGATGGCGGACCAATAAAGACCGAACTCTATTCCACTTGACACCTGGTGACCTAGAGAAACTATAAAGTTGAGAATTTTCTAAAGAACCATTATTATTTGAACATGTTGGTATTTCTAACGATAATCTTTGCCCTGAAAGCTTCAGCACAAGCCCAACAGTGTCAGGATTTGCACGGTTCCTGTCCTTTAAAGGGTACCCAGGGACACTGTAATGATGCAGGATTCAGAAAGATTTGTCCATTCACTTGCGGGATATGCACGTGTAAGGATGCCTTGGTGAAGGATGCTTGTGTTTGGTTCAAAAATCAAGGGAAATGTCACACTGACCTCACCATGACGTCTAACAACTGCAGGGCGACCTGTGGGTTCTGTGAGTGTAAGGACAAGCCTAGTGTGGTAGGGTGTGCTAAGTTCCTGGCTTATGGACAATGTCTCCACAACCCTACTGCTAACTACCAATGTCCAGCTACATGTAAATTCTGTGATAAATTCTGTGAGGTGACAACTAACACTGCCGGCATTATCCAAGGAAGGACAGTAACGTTAGAAGACGGAACAACGCAAATACACGAGTTCCACAAAATACGCTACGGGGAAGCTCCAACAGGGAACCTTAGATTCAGACCACCACAGCGGCACACAGTCCCAAAGTCCACCAAGGTGATGGCAACTGCTGACACCCACATGTCCTGTGTGGATGGTAATGGTAAAGGAACTGAGGATTGTCTCTTCCTGCACGTACGATCTCCAGACTTGCAAGGCTCCAGACCTGTTATTGTTTGGATCCATGGTGGAGCACTTAAATTTGGTTCAGGAATGGATATAGGATACAGTTTTAGCTCTGACACCACCCACCAAGTAGATGCTGTTACCGTCAACATCAACTACAGACTTGGGTTCCTGGGGTTCAGTTCAGTTAGTGAGTTGTGGGATGAAGGTGAAGGAGTGTACGCTAACAATGGTATCAGAGATATGATCGCAGCTCTGGATTGGATACAAGAAAACATAGCTGCCTTTGGAGGAGATCCAAACTCTGTCACCATTATTGGACACAGCGCAGGTGGTACTTCCGTTCTGGCGCTAACCTGCTCTCCTATGGCTAACAACAAGTTCCATGCAGCTGTCTCCATGAGTCCAGCACCTGAGATGAGAGCCTCGCACGTGGTAGGGGATCTCTTTCAGCGAGACTATGTGTCCAACTACTTGGGGTGTAATCAGCCCAGTCCTACTGCGCGGAAACATTGCTTGCTGCAACTTGATGCTAGTAAGTTTAAATCCCCTCTACAGGACAAACGTTTTTCTGGGTCTGCTTATTTCAATTTCCCAATGGTTGATGGGATTAAAGGTGAAGCGTTTGGGTACATCGTGATTGACCCTGTGGTGGTTACAATCGCTCCAAGAAATCTGAAAGATGCTACATTCGCTCCAAAGGCACCTATTAAAATTATAGTGTCCAATACCGCTGAAGAAATCACGGCCACTGCTTTCCCGACAGACCATGAAGCCCATAAATACATGGAAGCCAACTTACTGAAGCTGACCCACAGAAGCGATATACTGAACATGGTCTACCAGCAGTTCTATCCTGGGAAAACAGCTAAAGATGCCTACAGTCATCTTGTAACTGACATGCGGGCAACATGTCCTACCAATGAAGTAGTTGGAGCCATGTCCCTCAGCAGGAACCGTGAAATGTACAGGCTGTACGTTACTCATCACTCTCCAGGGTTACCACCAATTCACGGGTACACTGCATGTTTCCTGTTTGGAAGTTATAAAACAGCAATTAAGTCACTGACTGAGACAGAGCATCAGTTTGCACGACACATGCATGACATGTTGAAGAACTTAGCATGGAGCAGATATTTGGAACATGGATGGAATCCCTTCCCTGCAACATCCATGGAATTTGAAAAAAGCCCACGGATTTCTAAGATAACAACGACTCAGCCACAACAACTGGTTTGCCACTACCTCGCACACCTCGGTCTAACAAAGTACGGGTGGCAGAATTAGTTGGTTTGGTTTGGTTGACAGTGAAATATTTTATTAGCAATACAAATTTTGCGTTTTATTTTGTCTTTCTTTTTGTTTTTTTGAAAGTTAAACCTTGCCAAAAATCAGTAAGTATTCATATGTGTGCTTTATTTACAGGGAAGCTCTCAATTCATTGCCCACGCAACCCTTAGACAGCTCACGTATTTCTAGTCAAAATTGCACAACATTGCAAAATGTTGAACTGTAATTCTTACCAGAATGACGTGAGTTATTTAATAGATTCTTGTTGGAATTGAATTCTGGGCCACTCTGTAGGGGTAAGATACACATCACATCACATACTCATGAAATGTAGAAATTTACACACTTTATCAGTAACAAATACCCCCTGGAGCTTCCCCCATGTCCATAATTTGCCTTGTCTGTGATAAACAGAGTTTAATCACTGAGGGAGAGAGGGCTGGGATATAATAGTCTTTACATGCACTGATAAAATCGTAACACACGTACCGCTCTGCTAATATCGCTAATTATTTTGTATCAAATTAAACCCGCATCAATAGTTTCAATACATTCCAGAGATCGCGCACATGCCTGGAACAATGAGTTTAATGTGTTGGAATTCCAATCGTAACACATTGTTTCTAGACTAATGTTAATGATAATGCCACAATTTATAGATTAACTATTTCAGGAATTGCCGTCTTCTGTGGGATCTCTGATTAATCTCCTATTTTTAACGGCAGATAAAAACAGATTAGGAGCTCTGCCTGCAACGGTAAGTTGACAATAGTTTTATTACTGTTACAAATAGTTTATTTTAATGACTGCACCTTATCAATGTTAATGAGATGATGACATTTTTACTGTTTATTTACACCTGATCATTCCATAAAACACATTTCTACAGAACTTATTTAGTTTAACGGACCCATAATTTCATCATTTATTCCAACATGTCTTTACTTACATTAGGTTACTTTACTTTGCTATAATTTGACATGAGCACGAGTTAATTCCATGTAGACACAAAGAACCCATAATGTACACAATTTCTTAAGAACTCAATAGTACATCAAAACTTCTATTATTCTCAGAATGAATTGCCCTACAGGACTCTATTTTCTGCCTCTTTTGTCTTAACTCCTGAGGCGTTCATTCAGGCGCACTCACAATAAATACACGATATACTGCTCGCTATTCTAATATTACAGGAGAGTACCCAACATTCAACAAGCCCCATTATTATAACAGCTATATTTCTACAGATCTGTTCATTTAAAGATTTTACCAACTGCTCTCAATACAATAGATATTATGATATTGTACATTCTGTGTGCTAATGTGTGTGCTAATGGCCCTGCTTGACTTGACATCTGCTTTTTTGGAGGAGGAGCTGTAAAGGGCTGTGCAGCGTGACTGTTAGCAGCTAATGTTATAGTCTGGGAATGTTACAAGTTTCTTACTAAATACCAGATCCTTCTTCTTCTTCTCATTTTGAAGCTGAACCCTGGACTCTGCAGTGTAAGGTTTTAGGGGCGGATAAAACTTACTGTAATGAGCATTGTGTGGTATGTCGAGAAACAAATTTATGGTGACTTACGTAGTGTACGGCAAGGAGAATATTCAGCTATGTTCCTGTTTATAGGATATACTGTCCAGACTACTGGTGGTTCAAGTTCCTTTAAACGTGTCCGCCCAGACCAATTAATCTTCTTGATCTTCTGAGTCACACCATGATTATGCAACTTGCTCTACAGTTTTTGCATCTGTAATTTGTAACGCCATTTTAGGGACAATCACTTTGGTGAAGTGGTAATTTCTGATATTATTATATCTAAATTAAGAAAATATTTAGTAAAATTTTTAATGTTCGTTACCTTACCGGATACAAGTTACATAGCTTACATTGTTATTCCATGTATTAGAAAATTAATAATCATAAGTTGATTCACGATGTGTTTAAGACTTATCAAAACATTATGCATCGAACATTTGTCATTTCTAAGTATAGCGCCATTGTGTTTTAATGTAACTTAACAAAAGATTTTTTCCCACCCTATTAATGAACAAAAAACTGCTCATAGTTTTTAAGCGAAACCGTTTAATAATTAACTTTATTTGTTCAACTAAATGATGAATCTTTGCCAGGTGAGACTTTTATTAGAATATAATATACTCCTATAAAGTTTTAAACGGTGTACAGTACAAGTATATAAACTAGAACCTAGCCAGTATTAGCTTTGTTATTTAGTTAACAATATTATCTTGTTGACTGATTGTCCGACTGTCAGCTTTGTAAAAAGTGTCCTGAAGATAAACGTGAACTGTCGATAATTTCACCTTTTAAAACGCCCCTCTCCTGTAATTAGCAGGAATATTGACGCAATTTCATCGGTTCCATATCAAAACAAGGCTTGATTAGCCCGCTAATTGTAACACAATTCAAATGTTACTAACTCTTGCCGGTCTATACCACTCAAAGTGAATTTACAATGCCGGCCAGCATCTACTCAACCATAAATTTGAGGAGATTTCTCACGTCGTACGCCATTGTCTGCCAATTATAACTAATAATAAGTGCGCATAATGGCCAGCGGCAAATGATGAATTGTGGCTGATTATTTGTGAAGAAATAAATATAACGTGCAAGCAGAGCAGTTTCAATGGTCTACTTGTTCGTCGCTGCTGAGTTGTATTTAATTGACTAATAGCCCAATTAACAAGTATTTAAGTAGGGTAAATGTACTTGTTTATTTATAGAGTTACTGTTGTTTGTTTGTGTAGTATAGTGTATTCAAGACGATATACACTTAAGTGTGATCGGTGTACACGGTGATCGTGTACATCAAAACGTATGGGAAATCCTAAATTGTTTAAATTTGAATTAGAGAATTAGGGACGGGAGACGAAGAGGAGTCCAAATATACCACTTTATTTTTAGCACTTAGGAATTCCTGGGACCATTTATTAGCCCGACGTGAACGCCCCTGATAATAAGTTCTATAATCACTAAAACGAAAATATAATAATAACTTACTATGGTTAATTAAGTTATGCGAAGTATTCGCTGCTTTAAATGAAGTTAAAAATGGGAGTAATTTAGTGGTCTCCCTTGTTAGTTCTTACCCTCATCCACCCTGTACCACCAAAAATAGATTCTGACTTCATCGAAATGGAACGATCGATACATGATCTAATCGAGTGTACTCTGGTCATGTTGATGCAGTAGTTCGACTGCCAAAAGCTGAGCACCCAATATAACAATGACAAATGTTTGATATATTTTATGGAACAGCCATTTCACTGCCAGCTTATCGCGAAGGGGCTATTAATCTTGATATTTTGCTATCATACTCAATACTATTCATCAATACTCTAGTTTATGTCGCATAGTTTTTTAACTAGTATCTCATTTCAGATAGCGGAATGCTCTCAGCTCTGCATTCTGACAGTACGTGAGAATCTGATTACATCGCTCCCCGCGGACTTCTCTAAATTATCCAGCCTGACCGTACTGGATGTTGCTTGTAACAGGTGAGGGTTACCTAGGGTGTGGTGATGTTTGGGAAGCCTCAGGAATGCCATCCATTTGGTCATCGATCCTCTGTCGAGTAACGGATCGCACGTGCATCTTTTTGTACTAGCACGAGTATTGGTCGTTCATATGAAAAGGAAACCGAAGTTCGCGCGCACCGCATGCGCGCTAATTATTTCATAGAATTGACCAGGTTTCTGCTAAAGAAAACATAAATACGGACACCTGGCTTTAATCCAATTTACTGTAATGTTTCACGCTCCACTTTAACCTGGATCAAGTCTATGGAGTGTACATTGCTTTTATACTGTATTACAGCTTCAGACCGTTTTACTTTAAACACATGATATTTTGTAGACATGTGTGATGGTGTGATGTCATACATTTTACTTTATGACCAGCTACAATATTAAATTTACCATCCTATCTAATAACATTTCTTATCAGGTTGGATTACCTGCCCGGTTCGTACCGAGAGCTGAACCTGAGGGCCATGTGGTTGTCAGACAACCAAAGCAAACCCTTAGTCGACCTGCAAGAAGATACAACTCCGGAGGGAGTTTCCGTTTTAGTTAACTATCTTCTACCCCAGGCTCCACCTGACACAGAAGAAATAGGTAAGTTTGTTTTAACTCTGGTGATTTTAAATACGACTTTTTAAAGTGATCAGCTTGCTTCATGACACTTTTTACTATATTTACTCTTTATTATATTGTACCTTATACTGATCTGTACCTAATGATGTACCTAATTTCCAAACTAAATCGGTGACAGTTCAAATAGGTCAACCGCCATTTTAAGACAGGCTGAATCATCCTTTCTGCGATAAACCAATGATGAGATTTGAGGGTGTGTGATAGTTTAGTGGGGGGTATACCCCCCGTTTAGTGCTTTGCTCCAGGGTTACCACAACGTTTAAACCATGTGAGCCGTGTTCCTACAATGACGTGCTAATCTTTACCCAACCAATAGAACCGTTTCAAATAGTTATCTCCCGAGCTGAGTGACAAGCCCAAGGACCAGTGGTTGTTGCAGATAACTGGCCAGTGAGGACTAATTAAGGTCCTTCTGGACGGTCTGTAAATAACCTGCACACAGCAGCTGGACATGTTAAGTCAAGGGTCATTTAACAGTGACACTAACTTTAGAGTGTCGTGTTACTGATCTGTTGGAATTAGTGACCTCCCTTCCCTGCTTAAATAAGGTTTCGTCCAGATGTTTGCAGTGATACTCAGAGTCTAGTTGGCTACGTGTACTTGTCGTAATGAACGTGTATTGGCTGCAATATTGTGGGAATAATATAACCAAGATATAAATTATCAATAAAAAGTTCTCGTTTCAGACGGGTTTGGAAACACTGGAATGACGTCAGAAAGCGAATCAGAAGCCGAGAGCAGTCCTCCAGTCAACTACCGTGAGAGTAAAATCTTCTTTGATGTGCTGCCGAAGGAGAGTCAACCCTTGTTCAGACATCCAACCCCTACTCCAAAACAACTCAAAGTGCTGAAAGCCCAAAGGACGTCCTATCTGAGTCAGGAGAACGGAGCCACTGCAGTTCCTGTCAGGCCTGCACCGGGCCTACCTGCTGTAAGTTTTCTATTATCTGGGTGGGCCCTCTGGGTTTAGTTATAATCTTTCAGTAGACTTGCTGTATGTCATGAAGCTTTCAAAACTTAGCATTGGAATTTTTTTCCCTACTCTTGCCGAAGGCAAAAAGATCGTAGGGAATAAGTAATCGGGTTTGGATATATGAGGTGGCCCGACGGTCCTACGGTGTCGACAAAAGTCTGCTCCTTCGCAATATGGACCACTCCCATATAATTATGTGTATAAAAGGAGTCTATTTTGCGCGCGCGACGCTGGTTATGAGTTAATTAATTACAGGCATAGCAACCAGTTTTTGGTGCTTGACGACTGTTACAAACGGATCAATCATCAATATAGGTGTTATTTGTGTGAAACAAGCTTAATAAATTACCGAGTGATAAAATTCAGCAAGTCAAAACAAATAAAATTATGATGTCAGCTGATAAACTCGTGGCTGTGGGCTGATTATTTAACAGTTAATCGACACTGAATGGTAGAAAGCATTGGAATACATAGTTGAGAACAAATGTTACTTCACAGTTACATTTAAGAAGCAACTATAATATCAAGATTGTGGTATTCTTTTAAAGAATCCTATATCAAATAAAAGGCTCGAAAGTCGATGGTGCTGTGATGTGTCGAGTAAGAATCAAAATGTATTAGTTTATGTTAGATACAAATAATAACTAAGAGGAGACAGCATATTTTATTACAGTCAATAAGTTGGCATACGATGCAGTAATATGACGTGACATGATACGCATATCGTTATTGTTAACACGAAACAAAACCGCGCAAAGTATGAAATGATCTACAACCAAACCACATACAGATCGACGGCGACACCTCAGATGCGCGCAGGATTTTTCAAGTTCTGCACGCCTAATATAATATAAACGTTTATTACATTGTACATGCGCCAAACACCACTCTGGGATACAATAAAGTAGAACAATTAAATTGTATGCAGTAGGGAAATTTGATCGTGCGTGGTGTTACCGCGGCGAAATTCTTGTTTGATAACGTTGTCTTACTTCCGATGTTACAGATGGATTATGATGAGGACGAGGAGGAAGAATCGGATGATCCCGATGATGCTCCAACCTCTCCACTCCTGCAGAATGGATTTAGAATGAGTGCAGGTAAAATATGTGTTTTTAAGAACTGTTAGATGTTTTAAGTGATGAACAATTTATTCGCCATTCATAACGATTGATGTAGTTTTAATTGACAATATGACATTTTCTTTCTCCCAGCATCTTAGGTTAGATAAACTGTATTGTGAGCTGCAAAGTTTTTCAAACTGACTCCCAATTTTGTTCAGATCGACCGCAAGTTACATCCTACACCAATCCTTTAACAGCTGCGGATGTAAGTATAAGTCTGCCAGGCGGCCAGACGAAATCTAATGAACTTGTTTTGGATACAAATCGTGGAGTGACGGGCACGGCATTATAGGCCTTCTTTTTAAACAGTTTATACTCCTCAATATGTATAGACAAAGTGAGATCCATGTTATGAGAATGTGAGTCCAGGGTGGCCCGTCAAGTCATGTTCGGCAACTCCATGAGGCCCTGGCGGCAATGAGACATTGTAGGTGAATTATATAGTGGAACAAACTGATCCGCCAATTTAAAACTATCTTTCGTTCGAGCAATAGGAAAGGTTTTCTGATTAATGTTTTTAAATACAATTTGAATTTATAAGTATATTGACAGTATTCAAGTATTATATTCTGATTTCGTCTGTACTATATATTGTTGACACAATTGCTGGTTAAAACTGATTTGAAAGGATCAAAACCAAATAATAACGTTGAATGTTCTAATTTTTTCCCGTGTTTACAACATTAAACATGTAATTTTTGAACTTAGCGTGTCAACAAATTGCACATTGAAGCATGCCTCATGCATGAAAGTTTTCAACTTTTCCTCCTTAAACACATTCCTAAAACCTAGAACATTCCTTTTACCAACGATTATTTGGTTCCTGTAACATTGTTGTGTTTAGCTTACCGTTAATAAAGATATTTATTCTTTAGTTCACTCACTTTCACATCACCTAAAGGAAATGTAACATCTGAGATTGTCAGCGCATCTCAAGGGCAGTCTTTTATTTTGTTCAGTTTATGATCATGGCATGTGTCCGATGCAGCATAGAATCAAGCGATTTAAGGCCACTATAAGGACGAGCCACTAGTCCGGAATACTAAGCTGGTAACAATTTGTCCCCTCTGATCGCTACTATCTCATGTCAGTTGATAGTAAGAATATGGAGCGACACTTTATGCCTTAAGAGGCATAATGGACATTGTTACATACCCCGCCGAGCAACAAAAACACATCCTCCGTATACACTGCACTGTACACTGCACTGTACACTGCACTGTACATTGTACAATGTACTAATCATCGTCTTAACCAGGACGATAACGACGCAGACGATGATCCTGTCTACGAAAACTTGACTTACAACAGAACTAACACACAGTGATGTAACTTACAACTTACAACTACTAACTAGACTGTACTGACAAGACTGAACGACTAAGACTGAAGTGACAAGAACAATAAATTACAATACTGATTCGTGTTTTTGTTCAAAGGGCTTTTTCAGTAGCACAAGTTTGTTTGAAATTGAAATATGAAATTTTCCAACGCCATTTAATCCCATTTGGTTGTCACGGTTTTCCAGCGCTCCTAAAACTCGGTTGTAACTATTCATGATTCAGGTTAATAACGATCATATTCACCACTTAAAAGTTCATTTTTTCCACAAAGAGCATTAATTCTTACCACATACACGGTGAACGATTTTTTCTCAAAAAATCGAACACCTACCTTCTGCAAAATACATTTTATCAATTATATATCATAAAAATATTATGTTTCATTTGAGTTATTCAGATTTTTATGGACTATTTTATTATACGACTCAGTAAAGCCAAAGGATCGTGTGCGAAATGATATATTTTCAAAATGAAAAAATTGTGATATGCATGATTATCGATTGATGCTAGAATGACCATGAATTTAAATTCGAAAACAGAAAAGCAGGCTTTCCCAAGAGTGTGGTTAAATTTAGATTTTGTTACAAAATATTTTGTATTAAGGGTACATTTTATTAAATGAGACTGTTTTAAAGTTCGCTTGCCAGTACAACATTTTAGGATGGGCCAAGGCAATTTATATCAGTTTATCTCACAACTGTCTCCATTAATTGTGAATATTGGTTAGGGCATATTCTATATGCAAAAATTAGATAAACATGATAAATTGATAATGATAAAATGCGTTGATTTTCTTGAATTGGTTGGCCCAAACCTTGGCAAAGCAATATTTCTGCTTAACTGCACTGCAATTCTTTTGCGAATTGCAAATAACTGCCTTTTCGTGTACATGAATGTTATAAAGTGTAAATGTTGGCAGATAATGTAAGGCACGAAATTTGCAACGAGATTAACGATTTAGGAATTTCAAAATACCACGTGATGTATAAATTGTGCTGATGTGATTTAAACGTTGAGGCAAGACTTCAAGGTATTCCACCCAACACGCTCTGTTGTGTATTTTGTGCGATTAAATTTTCTAAACCTTAATTGTAACAGTACCATGATCCGAATTTCTTTAAAAATTTGTGTCTTACTTTCTATACTCACTCACAGTAATCTCGTGGCTCTTGATTTGAGCCGCGCAACCGGGGCACGTGCACGGACTGAATTTACAAAATTGAGGAGTCATGAGCTATGAGTGCTTCAGCCACTGTTTACGCCAAATTTGACTACTGTAGATTAACACTATTATTTCTAATTTATGAATGAAAATTGACACTTGTGAGCATGCAGGATTCGCTAAACCAATAGTCAATATTGCCTAAGTGCTATGGTCATTCACTTGTGAGCATGCAGGATTCGCTAAACCAATATTCAATATTGCCTAAGTGCTATGGTCATTTGTCATTGGTCGATGGTTTTCTTTTTGAAAGCTATGCACGCACTTTAAGGACGCGAAGGTCGAAATCCAAAATGGTTAACGGGTGATACTCGTAAAATATTTGTTCCAAATATTAGGACCGTCGACGGGTCCAACTCGGCGCGCGTCCTGGTAGGTTATAAACCTACAACAAAATGGCAGCTACAAGTTTTTCAGTTTTAGATTAAATTGTTAAAAGTAAGCTTGGAGTTGGAATTAATTAAATTCGGCTAAACCAGTATTACTATTATACAGTATTATCGTTCATTATAAGTATCACAGTTTACCCGGCGCGCGCATTCGCGATTTGTGAATGTGGCTCTTAAGTCCTATTCGCTATTTTTGGTCCAGCGGCTCGCAGGGGGGGGGACCAATGGGGAAATTTTCCAATCCTCAGCCCGCTTACCTCATTAAAAATAAAATCTTTCCCATTTTGTTTTGCAATTTTAAGACAACATAGCAAATTTGATGAGTGTAACATAAATTTCACTATTTAAACTTCCTATCTAATAACTACGAAGAAGTTTTAATTTACACCTGCTGTCAACTCAGTAAACTAAATAATTATTTGTTGACATGATACACGCTCAACGTTTTAAACCCCTTTTCGCGCGAGAGACTAGCAGTAGCAACTGGCAACACGTAAAGCAACAAGCAAACTTACCTAGCTTGCTAGCCTATTCATTACCTGGGGACCTCAGGCTATCATGTTCATAAATGGATGAATAGAGATTCGGCGGAATGACAGGCTGAGCGCGGCCCAGTAAGCCTATTCACTATTCCTCGATCGTCTCACATAGAAAAATTAAAGCGCCGCGCACAGGGATTGGCGAGCCAGGTAACACGCAAGCTAGATAATAAACATGCCACAAGGAAGCATTTGGTCGCTGAACTGGAAAAAAATCTTGACTCACCTCGACCATTTGTAGGTTTATAACTTTCCAAGACGCGCGCCGAGTTCAAAGTTGGACTCATCGACGGTCTTATTTGAAACAAATATGTTAAGAGTATCACCAGTTAACTCTAACATTTAAACCCTAACTGCTAACCACGCGCTCTCGCTACTGCAAGCGCAAGGGCTCTGGATAGAGCAAACCCTAACGAGAAATTAGACTAACTTCTTTATTGCTTATATGTGTTATAAATATAATGTTATAGTTATACGCGCGGTCATATCACGTTATCGAGACAGTTTTTAGCCAATATCTCACCAGGGGAGCATTTTAATCCTGGGGGTGATTCGGAATCAGCGTCTGAAAATACATCGATCGAAGTTGGTTTCAACTGTGAACTGTCGGGGCCCGTTTAGAACAACCTTGAAGATCGTTGTCAGCTGAGGGGGGGGGTTTCCGAATGATAAAACGCTAGTGTAATTTTGACACAAAAGCTATGTTCCAAAAAATGATTACGTAATATGTGAACGACCCCTTATGCCTTATGCCGCGGCCCACATTTCATAATATGCTGTCGATATGGTGTTTGTAAATTTGAAATTTGGAAAACGTAAAAGTTTCCAATTTGTAGCGCGATGCACTACTGGGTCGCGCGCGCATCAAATAATGCTACTCGCAACCACAGATCGGCGAGATGCGAAGGATAGACATCGTGAATCAAGTTTCCAATCAAAGCAATTGTTGTACATTTGACATTGTAGGTTTATAACCTACCAGGACGCGCGCGTCCTGGTAGGTTGTAAACCTAAAACAATTGGTAAATAATGTATGAGTTTTAAACTAATTACAACACTACAAATTTGTTACATTTATTGAGAATTATGTAATGTAACGTGATGAAAATATTTTAAACGAGCATATCTTACTGGGCCGCGCTCAGCCTGTCATTCCGCCAAATCTTTATGTTAATGAACATGATAGCCTGGGGTCCTCAGGTAAAGCATATCCTGTCCAAACCCAGGATGCACAACATGAAGAATTCGTTGTAACTTAGTTTCAAAAGCATCAAGCGTGCAGCATTAATATAATATAACTGCTCCTATATTTAATATAGTTTGAGGATTCCTCCCTCTCCTCACGTCAGACAATGGCGTTTCTATTGTTGCTAATATCACACAATACATGGGCGTGCCCACAGGTCACAAAGCCTTCGTTTAGTTAGTTTCTGGTAAACCGATGCAGGGAAGTTATTGTATGTTGTAATGTGTAGAGGTGTGCAATGGTACATAGTGAGGTCCCGCAATTGTGACGAGCGTGCTAAATCACTTTACAGTCGATCTTCGAGATTGTTCTAAAAGGGCCCCCGACAGTTGAAACCAACTTCAATCGATGTATTTTCGGACGCTGATTCCGAATCACCCCCTATGACATAGGATTAAAATGCTCCCCTGACGAGATATTGGCGAAAAACTGTCTCGATCACGTGATATGACCGTATAAGGGAGTTAGTCCAATTTTTCGTTAGGGTTAGGGTTTCAGCATATGCTTTTGTTAAGGATTGGGTTAGGGTTAGGGTTGGGATCAGATTAGTTAGGGTTTAGAAAAGTCGTTCAGGACCAGCTAGAGAATAAGTTGAAAATGTCACGTGACAGTCGAGTGTAGAGTGATTAATCATCATCCCAATTGTGACCTGAAGAGGCATTATTGCAATGAGATAACTTTAAGCTCTTGTGTTACATTACATGGCATATCACCTGGATCAGCAGCATGTATGGATTGACTAAGAAAAAGTAGACCCAGCTAGAGCGATGTAACATTTTAATATGCACTAGAATTGAAAGTTGCTCAATGAGGCTAATGCGCGCAGCGCGTTTGTTTACACCTAAGAAAATGCTTACAATTTGTTTTCAGTACTATGATATTTTCCATGCGCGCTTCACTGGAACTCTCTTCAGTGTAACACTTTCTATTTTTGGACAAATTGAAAAAGCTCTTAAAACCAGGCGACTGAAGTCAAACAAATTGAATTATATTTACATTCACACTTTGGCAAGCTTTACATCGGCAGCACAGAAAACATGTTATATAAATAGAATCTTTACAAAAGCTACAAGTTGTCACAACTAAGAAATATTTGCCCAACGCAACCGTTCATCATGGATTGGCCGGTCTGGGCAAGTTCAAACTTGAACAAAATCGTCAAAGTAAAAACGTGAGAGGCACTCTTTGTCTTTGACGTGGCAAATCTATGAAATTGCGCCTTGAAACATCACACCATTGCAACTGTATACATGCAGACTATGCTCAAACAGTAAATCGATAGTGTGTAGAATGTAAACCAGTGATCTAATATCATGTTAACCTTGTTTTAAGTTGGATATTTGCCACTTGTCAAGGAGTCTAATAAAATGAAGATTCCTTTCATCGGGTATCTGAATCAGACCAGTCTGGTTAACATTTTTCACACATGTTAGTAAACTAAACTTTTACAAATCACATTTCTTAATTAAAATACCAGACCGCCCTAATATAATGCAATAATTCTAAATTATTAATTAGCCGTCATGTATTATATCATTACATTCGGTAATTTTATGAAGCAAGAGTTATGTCCTAATCACCTAATGCCTAAATTTTAGAACAATACTCCTTCATTCTCGTGTGTGCACAAATATATTTCTTTGAAACAAGACTTTCAGATTCTTAAGAGAGTAATTACAGAGAGGAATTTAAATTTCCAGTTTAAATCTCAAATCTTAGTTTTATTTCACAATTCAGTCCCTTCATACACTGAGTTTTAGATCAGTGACACTACTGGGAGCAAATTGCTTTTTGAAACTAATGTCCCACCACATTCCCACAGGCACACGAAGTCCTGCACAACTCAAGAAATAAACTGGAAATTAAGTAAAATATAAAAGTTAGTTTTAAATTGAGCAGCCCCACAAATTGTGTCAACGAGGGACAGCTGGTGAAGTGGGGACATACTTCGGTATAAAACTAATGTCCCACCACAAACCCGCAGGCACACGAAGTCCTGCACAAACGCAAAAATAAAAAGGGGACAAACAGTTGGAGGATATTGAAGAGGAGAGATGCTGTATATAATATGAAGAAATTGTTGAAAGTGGAATAAAATATAAGTTTTTTGTAACTCTTGCTTCATTTTAACATTCGCTTATCTTTTGTTTCATATTTTTGCTCAAAAACTTCTCTGAAATTTAAGGAAAATGCCAACAGGGCAAACTCTAGTCCATTATCTCCGCTGAGTACATTACCACAAATTCATCCTCGTCAAGACAGGATCTTTAAAATGTTCATGAATCTCTCGAGACTTGGCCGATGGACCACGACGGAGCACAGTTCATTGCTAGATCTCAGCCACACAGTCGGTCGTGGAGCTAAACGATAATTGGGTAAAATAAAACACTACAGACAGTTGTCACGTGGCAGGACAAGAGAGGCGGCCCAAATCACGCGATCTCCTCCTTTAGAACGGAACAGTACATAGGCGGCAGGAAATCCTGTCGTCGGTGGACTGCCCTGTTTTAAAGAGACGGTCACGTGACCTGACATGTGATCAGTCCATCCTCCTCCTCTCTGTTCCTGGAAAAACCTGGGAGCACACTTTATTTCTTAGGCTAGCTGGTCTTGAAAAGTATTTTGACGGTAGTGAGAGGGTCGGAAAGTAGTTTTTATCGCACGGCCCACTTTAGCATCCCAGACTTTTCACCATCATCTCGTGATCCTCTGTCACTCGATCTAAAAA